GCGTCTGCGTCTGCGTCTGCGTCAGGTCAGCTAGCGGCCCCCTGCTCGTGTCGCGCTTTGTCGCACCAGACCCTCCTTTGGCACCACCGTCTTGGTCACCCCTCGGTGCAGCGCCTTTGTAGCATGCACCGCCGGGTTCTTGTCTCTGGTCTTCCCCGGGTTCTCCCTCCCCTCCCACCCTCGCCTGCTCCTCCCTGTCTTCCCTGTGTCGAGGGGCGGCAGCGCGCCGCTCCTCACTCCTCCTCGTTTCCCTCGACGACTGCTCCCCTGCAGACCCTGCACATGGACGTGTGGGGCCCAGCCCGCGTCACTGGACAGGGCCGCGAGCGGTACTTTCTGCTGGTTGTCGACGACTACTCGCGTTACACCACGGTCTTCCCCTTGCGCACCAAGGGTGAGGTCCCTGATGTTTTGATCCCTTGGATCCGCGCTGCCCGTCTCCAGCTCCGCGAGCGGTTCGGGACGGAGTTTCCCGTCCTGCGTCTGCACTCTGACAGGGGTGGGGAGTTTTCCTCCGACCTTCTGCAGAGCTTTTGTCGTGGGGAGGGCATTCGCCAGACGTTCACGCTTCCGGCCTCTCCGCAGCAGAATGGGGTTGCTGAGCGCCGCATTGGCTTGGTCATGGAGGTCGCTCGTACCTCCATGGTCCATGCGGCTGCCCCCCATTTTCTGTGGCCGTTTGCGGTCCGCTACGCCGCGCATCAGCTCAACCTCTGGCCCCGTGTCTCCTTGCCGGAGACCTCGCCCACACTACTGTGGACGGGGGAGGTTGGCGATGCGTCGGTGTTCCGGGTCTGGGGTTCTCGTGCCTTTGTCCGCGATACCACCGCCTGTGTCTTCCTTGGCTTTGTCCCTGACGCGCCTGGTTGGCAGTTCTACCACCCCACCTCGCGCCGTGTCTTTCCCTCTCAGAACGTCACGTTCGACGAGTCGGTGCCCTTTTACCGTCTCTTCCCCTACCGCACTGCCCCTCTTCCCCCCCCGCCGCTCTTCCTCACTCCAGGTGCTGCCCAGGTAGACCCCCTCCCCGCTCCCGGTCCTGCTCCTTCAGGTGTGTCTCAGGTAGACCCTCCACCCCTGCCTGCGTCGGTTGAGGTCACTGGTGACTCAGGTCCTGCTGAGGGTGGTCCTGCTCGGGGTGCTGCTTCTGGGGGTGCTGAGCCTGGGGGTGCGGAGCCTGGGGGTGCTGAGCCTGGGGGTGCGGAGCCTGGGGGTGCGGAGCCTGGGGGTGCGGAGCCTGGGGGTGCTGAGCCTGGGGGTGCGGAGCCTGGGGGTGCTGAGCCTGGGGGTGCGGAGCCTGAGGGTGCGGAGCCTGGGGGTGCTGAGCCTGAGGGTACTGAGCCTGGGGGTGCTGAGCCTGGGGGTACTGCGTCTGGGGGTGCTGCACCTGGGGGCGCTGAGGCGTCTGGTGAGCAGTCTCCCTGGAGTGGCCGTCTCCGTAGTCGCTCCGCTGGTGCCTCGCCGCTGCCCTCTCGTCGTCGTCTCCCTCTCTCCCCACAGCAGCTGCGTGAGTGGTACGTTAGCCGTCAGGGTCGAGCTGCTGGAGTTGGAGGCCCTGCTGCGGGAGGCGCTGGTGTTGGAGGCACTGGAGCTGGCACTGTCCCTGGGGGTGCAGAGCCTGAGCGTGAGGAGCCTGGGGGTGCTGAGTCTGGGGGTGCGGCGCCTGAGGGTACTGAGCCTTCTGGTGCGCGGTCTCCTTGGAGTGGCCGCCTTCGTCCGCGTGCGCCTCTCACCTCACAGCAGCTGCACGACTGGTACGGTCGCCGTCAGGTTCGCGCTGCTGGAGCTCGGGGCTCTGCCGCTGGAGGTGCTTCTGCTGACGCCACTGGAGCTGGGAGTGGTGCTGGTACTTTGTCTACTGGAGGTGCTGGAGTTGCTGGTCCCGGAGGTGCTCGTACTGGCAGTACTGGAGCTGCTGGGACTGGAGGTGCTGCGTCCGGGGGTGCTGCTGCTGGGGACGCTGCGACTGGAGGCCATAGGACTGGAGGTGCCGGTTTTGGGGGTGCTGCTGCTGGTGGAGCTGGTCCTGGAGGTTCTGGAGTTACTGGGGGTGCTGGCGCTACTGGAGACACTGGCGCTGCTAGTACTGGTGGCGCGGCGCAGCCGAGACTGTTCTTCCCTCCGCCGTCTCCGTCGTCTCCGCCACCGCCTGACTCTGCACTTCGTCAGGTTCTTAGTCTCCCGTCTTCTACTGGTCTTCCGTTACAGCCTGGCTCACCGCTGCCTGCTCCTTCTCCTTACTCTGAGCAGACAGGAGGTCCTACTGTGCGTCGTGCGCCTTCGTCGCATCCTGTCTCGCCTGTCCGTCCTGGTCGTTCCGGTCGTCGTGTTCCTAGTCTGCGTCAGCCGGCTGTCCGCAGCGCGCACCTTGTCGTCAGACGTCCTTCTTCTACTCCGCAGCATGTTCCTCTGCCGTCTCCCCCTGCGTCCTCTCTGCCTGACGTTCCGGACCCTGAGTCTGACCAGTTTCGTGCTGCGCACCCTACTGTCACGCGTCTCCTAGCTACTGTTGTCACTGACCCGTCCTTTGAGTCTGCCTCTGCGTCTGCCTTAGTCGCTGAGCTTGTTGACTTTGTTGCTGCCTGTCGTCTAGACTACGCTGCCGGTCTAGTTGCTGAGTCTGAGTCTGTCTGTCCTCCGTCCGTCGGGGGTGAGTGTGCTCTTGGCACGGACGTCCTTGAGGACAGGCAGGAGGACTTTGACTGTCTTGCGGCTGCTGTACCTCATCTCACGGCCTGGCTGCTTGCCCCTGAGGGAGACCCGGATGCACTAGACATCCCTACCCCCCGCTCTTACACAGAGGCGGTCTCGGGTCCCTACTCCTCTCAGTGGCAGACAGCCATGGACGCAGAGATGGCATCCTGGAAGTCCACAGGCACCTACGTCGACGCAGTTCCCCCTCCCGGGGCGAACATCGTCGATGGCATGTGGATTTTCAGGGTGAAGCGGCCGCCGGGTTCTCCGCCTGTCTTCAAGGCTCGTTACGTTGCTCGAGGCTTCAGTCAGCGACAGGGAGTTGACTTCTTCCAGACCTTCTCCCCTACCCTGAAGATGACCACTCTTCGGGTGCTACTGCACGTTGCTGCTCAGCGTGACTACGAGCTTCACTCTCTTGACTTCAGCACGGCTTTCTTGCAGGGCAGCCAGCACGAGGAGATCTGGCTGCGCCGTCCTCCTGGCTTCACTGGGTCGTTCCCTCCTGGTACCCAGTGGAGCCTCCGACGGCCAGTCTACGGTCTCCGCCAGGCGCCGCGCGAGTGGCACGACACACTGAGGACGACACTTGCGGCTCTTGGGTTTGCTCCTTCCACTGCAGACCCGTCACTGTTCCTGCGCACAGACACGTCGCTGCCGCCGTTCTACATCCTCGTGTACGTTGACGACTTGGTCTTTGCTACTGCTGACACTGAGGCACTTGCTCTTGTGAAGTCGGAGCTGCAGAAGAGACACACGTGCACAGACCTGGGTGAACTGCGCAGTTACCTTGGCTTGAAGATCACCCGGGACAGAGCACGCCGCACCATCACCCTGACTTAGTCACACATGGTGCAGCAGGTCCTTCAGCGCTTCGGCTTCCAGTTCTCCTCACCACTGTCCACTCTTCTGCCTACCAGCCGCTCGCTCTCAGCTCCACCTTCGGACGAGTCCGTAGACGCGAGTGGCCCGTACCCAGAGCTTGTGGGCTGCCTCATGTACTTGATGACCTGCACTCGACCTGACCTTGCGTACCCTCTTAGCATCCTAGCTCGCTACGTCGCGCCTGGGAGACACAGGCGAGAGCACTGGGAGGCTGCTAAGAGGGTGCTGCGCTACTTGTGCAGTACATCAGGCATGGGGCTGGTGCTTGGAGGACGGGGCCCAGTTGTCCTCACTGGACACTCAGACGCCTCTTGGGTTGACAACCAGACTACGCAGCGGTCGTCGCAGGGTTACACTTTCAGCCTTGGCTCTGGTTCTGTCTCTTGGCGTTCCACTCGCTCTTCTTCTGTTCTCAGCTCCAGTTGTGAGGCTGAGATCTACGCCACGGCCATGGCTGCACAGGAGTTACGCTGGCTCACCTACCTGCTGACTGACTTGGGTGAGCGGCCTCGTTCTCCTCCAGTTCTGTACGGCGACAACAAGGCAGCCCTTGCCTTGTGTCAGGAGCACAGACTGGAGCACAGAACGAAGCACATTGCTCTCCGGTACTTTCTTGCTCGAGAGCTGCAGCAGCGTGGTCAGCTTCGCCTTGCGTACGTGGACTCGAAGGCCAACACTGCTGATATTTTCACCAAGGCACTTCCGCCTGGTGATCATCAGCGTCACTGCACTGCGTTAGGCCTTGTGTCCACGTTTTCTCACTTGCTTACGGCTTGACTTTGTTTGTACTGTGATCTATATATATCTGCATGCTTACACTTGCTAGGCTGTGATCACTGTACTGCTTGTATTGTTCTATATAGATCTGCATGTGAACTGGCCTTGTGGCCTTTGCTTGTGCTCAGAGAGTGTGGTGACATTGTGATCCACCCTGAGCTTGTTTTTGCTTTGCTTGACTGGTCTTGTGACCCCTTGCTCTCCCCCACTTTGCCTATGGGGGTGTGTCAAAATATATATGTGATATATGTAGGCTGTAGTGGGGTAGCCAATACAGGGTACAAACCCATTAGGGTTTCATATTTGTACCCAAACTCATCTTTAGTTCATCATTCCTGCCTGTAGTTTCTAACAAGGCTCGTGATGGCGTCCTGCCAACAATCTTCCCCGTAAGGCCACATAACTGAAATTGCAGCAGTTCCATGATGCTGAATTCCAATCTAGAACCCCACATCACTGACATTATGCTAAATCAACACAACAGGGCCTGGTGGCATGTAGAGAGCATTACAGTAAGTCTTAAAAGCTATCATAATTGTCAGCCCTAAAGTGAGACTTCACATGCATAACTAATAACCTTCCATTCCCTGGGTACAACTCAGCAAGTACCAAGCGTTCAAGTCCTGTTGCGACAGGAAATTTATTCACGTGATTATTTGGAAATACCAGGTGTAGTACACGAAACCACCCAGAAGGGCGGCACCAGAGCCAAGCAAAGGCAGCAGCACGGTGGCGAAGTGGCCATCGGAATCAAAGAGGATGTTGGGGAGATTCATTGAGAAGGCAGCGATGATCACAATGAGCATTGAAAGCACTGTGCCCGTTGCTGTTATCAGCACCTGAGTGGATGGGAGGGCCATGGGAAGGAGTGAAGGGGAGTGGAAAGAGGTGTAGTAGGTGTCAAAGAGGGAGTTGGGGAGGTTCATTGAGAAGGCTGCAATGATCACAATGAGCATCCATAGCACAGTCCCCGTTGCTGTTATCAACGCCTGGGGTGGGGGGAGGGTGGGAGTTGGGGTGGATGCGAGCGAACATGGGAGGGAATATAGGGGTGGAGCAGGTGTTACAAGCACTGTCCCCGATGCTGTTATCAGCACATGAGGAAGGGTGGGGAGGAGGTGGGAGAGAGCACGGGGGGGAGAGTGAGGGAGGACGGGGTGCAGTAGGTCTCGGCGTAGGCTTCGGGAGGATCAATGAAAAGGTGGCAAGAATCATAATGACGACATGGCTACAAATCAGAGTCACCTGATTTGAGGCCCCTCAAAATCAGAGTCACATGATACATGCTCTAGCCCCCCCGTTTCCCCCACCCCGTCTGCTCTGCACCTATCCCCCCTCCATCCCCCCCTCTCCTTCCCTCCCAACCTATCTCCAGGATGAGCTGCCACGTCATCACTCCTGCCACGTCATCAGCACCACGTACCTGCGTCCCCTGCAGCTGGTTCCTGCGGTAGTCCAGCTGCGTGTTCACATAGTCCTCTGTGTCGTCCACATACTCATGGAGCTGGGATGGCAGGCAGAGGAAGAGATATGCAAAGGTATAAGGGGGAGGGCATATAACGTGCGCTCTAGTCGAGCTGCGTGTTCACATAGTCCTCTGTGTCATCCACGTACTCATGGAGCTGGGGAGAAGCGGGGAGAGGTGGGGGGAGATAGAGGGCACAAGAGAGGTCACATGGTCCTCTGTTCCCTTATTTACTTTGTGAGAGGTCCAGCTGCGTCTTCACATAGTCCTCCGTGCGATTCACGTACTCATCGAGCTGAGAGGGGGAGAGGGTGAAGAGAGATTAGAAGAGAGGAAAGAAAGAGATACGGGTTGCAGTGTGTGCTCTCAGTGTTCACATAGTCCTCCGTGTCATCCACGTACTCGTGCAGCTGTAGAGGAGGGGAGGGGGGGTGGGGTTTGCCAAGTGGGAACAGAGAGGAGGGAGAGACAAGGCGCGAGCATATATTGTGCGTTCTCATGCTGCTGGGTGTTCACATAGCCTCATCCGTGTGTCATCCACACACTCGTGGGGTTGGAAAAGCAGGCGGGAGCAGGAGAGATATCTGAAAGTAAGACATACATGATGCACTCACAGGCTCACAGCAGCTAGGTCATTCAGCAGTCGATCCACCTGGGTGAAATACGCCTCCAGCAGCATCCCTAGCTCTTCTACGTCCTCGCATCCTCCCAGCAATCTAGGCGCACACCACAACCACCCACCCACCTGAAAGAAGCACAGCACAGCGACCTCAAGCAAGGCCAGAGCACGCGATAGCCAGCTATTGACTCACTGCTGTCAGGTCGTTCAAGAGCCGATCAACTTGTGTGAAACACGCCTCCAACAGCATCTCCAATTCCTCCTCGTCCTCCCCTCCTCCCACTGCAATCCAGCACCACACCCAGCCACTCGCCCACCCGCCCGCCCACCCACCCACCCACCCGCCACCTCAAGCACGGGCAGGGCACATGATAGCTAGCGAGGTATTCACTCACCGCTGTCAAGTCATTCAAGAGACGGTCGACTTGGGTGAAATACGCTTCCAGCAGCATCTCCAACTCCTCCACATCCTCCCCTCCTCCCACACTCACCACACTCGAACTCACACTGCTCCCCGTTCCCCCCCCATCCCCCCCATCCGCCCCATCCCGCCCATTCCCCCCATCCCCCCCGCTCCCCCCATCCTCCCCATTCCCCCCCTCGGCGTTCCCCCCATTCCCCCCATGCGCCTCCTCTGCCTGAGCTTCGGAAGCTTCGGCCGGTGACAGGGAGGAAGGAGAGTGAGTGAGTGAGAGAGTGAGGGAGGGAGTGAGTGAGGGAGTGAGTAGGGGAGTGAGTGGGGGAGCCCCTGTGACTAGAGACGGTTTCAGAGGGGATACCAGGAGGGGGAAAAGCAGAGGGGAAGGCAGGCTCAGCAGCAGCAACAGGGGCCGGAGCAGCAGCAGTGGGAGAGAAAGCAGTAGCAGAAGGGGAAGCGGGGAATGGGGCAGGTGCGACATGAGGAGAGAGAGGATTCGGAGGAGAAAGGGAAAGTGGAGGGGAATGTGAAGGTGAGCGTGACAGTGGGGGAGAGGGAGTGGGAGAGTGTGGGGGGAGTGTGATAAAGAGCGTGGTTGAGAGTGTGGAGGAGAGTGCCGAGGAGAGTGTGATGGGGAGTGCGAGGGTGGGTGTGCGGGGGAGTGTGGGTGAGCGTGTGAGGAAGAGTGTGAGGGAGAGTGTGAGGGAGAGTGTGAGGGAGAGGCGGGGAGAGTGAGCCACTGCAGCTGGCGTGTGAGGTAGAGATCCGCCATGTCCCTGTCGTCGTCTAACAGATGCTCCAACTCGTCCCGCACCTGCATACAGAGGTAAGAGCAAGGGGAGACGGAGAGAGAGGGAGCACAAGGGCAGCTGGCGTGTGAGGTAGAGAGGTCTGCCATGTCCCTGTCATCGTCTAGTAGATGCTCCAACTCGTCCCGCACCTGCAGGAAGAGAGCAAGAGGGCAACCGGAATGGAGGGTGAAGAGCACGTAAGGCAAGGCAAGGGAACAGGACAGAAGGAGGTAAAGGTCTGCCATGTCCCTGTCATCGTCTAGTAGATGTTCCAACTCGTCCCGCACCTGCAGGAAGAGAGCAAGAGGGCAACCGGAATGGAGGGCGAAGAGCACGTAAGGCAAGGCAAGGGAACAGGACAGAAGGAGGTAAAGGTCTGCCATGTCCCTGTCATCGTCTAGTAGATGCTCCAACTCGTCTCGGACCTGCATGGAGATGAAAAGAGCAGGGGGAAAGAGAGGGGAAGGGAGCGAACTGAGACAAGGGAGGGAGCAGCAGAGTGTGAGGTAGAGGTCTGCCATGTCCCTGTCGTAGTCTAGTAAATGTTCTAGGTCATCCCGCACCTGCAGAGCGGAAGGCAGAGCAGGAAGGGAAGGACTGAGAGGCGGGGCGGGGACAGTGAGGTGCTGAAGTTGAGCGGCGTGTGAGGTAGAGAGGTCTGCCATGTCCCTGTCATCGTCTAGTAAATGTTCTAGCTCATCCCGCACCTGCATACAGGCAAGAGCAGGAGGGAGAGAGCAGGAGAATGACAGGTAAGGGAGGGAGCAGCAGAGTGTGAGGTAGAGAGGTCCGCCATATCCCTGTCATCGTCTAGTAGATGCTCCAGTCCATCCCGCACCTGGATAGAGGCACGAGCAGGAGGGATAAGAGAAGAGAGAGTGAGTGAGCACAAGTCAGGAGGGAAGGAAGTAGAGACAGTGTGAGGTAGAGAAGCCATGTCCCTGTCCCGGGCGAGCACACTACTTCAGTGGCACTATCTCAATCGTCTCACCTTTCCCTGCCTCATCCCACCTTCTGCACGCGGGAAGTCAGCACAGTCAGCCGATTCTTCACCCCTCTCACGGCCTCCAGGCCCGCCGTGCTGACAGCTAGAGGCACTGCCTCTAGTCGTCACCACACTGGCAGTGCCTAACTCATGTACCCTTCTGCACGCGCCAAGTCAGCAGTATCAACACAGTTCTTCGCACCCCTCTGACCGCCTCCAGGCCCGCCGTGCTGACAGCCCAGGCGAGTGCATTACTTCAGCGGCAGTGCCGACCTAATTCATCCTCCCACCTTCTGCCACGTCTCACTCACTCACCTTTTGCACGCGGGAGGTGAGCACAGTCAACCTGTTCTTCACCCCCCTCACGGCCTCCACGCCCGCCGTGCTGACAGCCCGGGCGAGTGCGTTCAGCGCCGCATACGCGTCTTTCTCCAGCTCGCAGCACTCCCAATCCAGCCTCTGGCTCACCACCTCCTCTAGTATCAGCTCCAACACCTTGCTTGCTACAGTGGCAGTGCTTTACACACCTACCCTCCTGCCTCACCTTCTGCCTCATCCTATGCCTGCCTCCTCTCACTCACCTTCTGCACGCGGGAGGTCAACACAGAGAGCCGATTCTTCACTCCCCTCACGGCCTCCAGGCCCGCCGTGCTAACAGCCCTGGCGAGCTTCAGTGCCGCATACGCGTCCCTCTCCAGCTCGCGGCACTCCCCCTCCAGCCTCCTGCTCACCACCTGCTCACCACCTCCTCCTGCTTCTTGCTTACTGCTTACCCACACTGGCAGTGCCTACCTCTCCTACCCTTCTGCCCCACCTTCTGGCTGACCTTAACCCTCACCTCACTCACCTTCTGCACGCGGGAAGTCAAAACAGTCAACCGATTCTTCACCCCTCTAACGGCCTCAAGACCCGCCGTGCTGACAGCCCGGGCGAGTGCGTTGAGCGCCGCATACGCGTCCCTCTCCAGCTCGCGGCACTCCCCCTCCAGCCTCCTGCTCACCACCTCCTCTAGTATCTGCTCCAACACCCGGAACTCGAATGGTAACGGCTCCTCCTCCTCCCCGTCCTCCTCGCCTGCCTTTGCCTCCTGCTTCTCTTTCTCTTCCTCGCTCTCTTCCTCCTCCTCCTCTTTCCCTTTCTCCTCCTCGCCTTCACTCTCCTCTTTCTCTCTCTGCCATGCCACGTCTTCTCCTCTTCCTTTTCCTGCTCCTCCTTCCCCTTCCCTTCCTCCTTCTGCCCCCCCTTCTCCTCCATCTCCCACTCCTTCCTCTTGTATTTCACCCTGCCTTTGTGTCCCCGCATGATCACCTGCATCTGCTTGTGCTTGTACCTGTGCATGTGCATGTGCCTGTGTCTGTGCCTGTGCCTGCTCTTGCTCCTGCTCCTGCGCCTGTGCCTGTGTGACCCGCATGCCCTGCGTCGTTGCCTGTGCATTATTTCTCCCCGGACTGTGAGTTGGTACCTGCGCCTGCTCCTGTTTCTGCTCCTGCGCCTGTGCCAGTGTCTGCACCGGTTCAGGTCCCATGGCGAGCACTCTTTCCAGGTGAGCGGCAAAAGCAGCAACGGGCGGCGAAGAGGGGTTGAAAAGCAGCACTTGTTGGGCTGACACGATGGCCTTCACATGCTCCAGGTTCACCATCATGCACCCCTCCCTGCCTGTAACCGGGTAACCAGACGGGGCGAGAGAGGGAGAGAGAGAAAGAGACACGATGGCCTTCACATGCTCCAGGTTCACCATCATGCACCCCTCCCTGCCTGTAACCGGGTAACCAGACGGGGCGAGAGAGGGAGAGAGAGAAAGAGACACGATGGCCTTCACATGCTCCAGGTTCACCATCATGCACCCCTCCCTGCCTGTAACCGGGTAACCAGACGGGGCGAGAGAGGGAGAGAGAGAAAGAGACACGATGGCCTTCACATGCTCCAGGTTCACCATCATGCACCCCTTCCTGCCTGTAACCGGGTAACCAGACGGGGCGAGAGAGAGGGAGAAAGAATGCAGCCGGCCAAGGATCGCATTGGACCGCGCTAGCGCAGATCGTGCAGAGGGATCGACACGCAGCGCCGCCACTCTAAGCGAAATGGGCGCTGTGTGTCACACATTTCCACTTAGAGTGGCAGCGGTGCGGAACAGCAGCGCGCCGTGTTAGCGCAGATCGCGCGCGGGGAGCGACAGCCGATTTACGTGCGAATGTACAGATGTACGAGCATACGTACGTTCTAGAGTCGAAAGAAACGAATCTCACCGAGAATCGCGGCGGCGGAGGACAGCAACGGGCCGTTCAAGCGGAGATCGCGCGCGGGGACCGACACGCGGCGCATGATCGCCTGCTTCGTGCACTGTAGCAGCTCCGCCTCCCCCCGCATCCCGACAAGCAACACCGCCCATTTCCGCCCCACCAGGCGCTTCTTCTTGCGCTTTTTCCCTCCCGCCACGTTTTGCTTCTCGTCGCCTACCCCCCGCGCTTTATCGTCGACGATCTTAATCTCCACTAAGTCGCTTTCGTCCTTAATCGCTTTAGACTCGTTTGCGTCATGCGGCTCCTTTCCTTCATCCCCGATATTAATCTCACTACCCCCCGCCGCAGCTTCCGCCGCCATCCCACTTTCTCCGCACACACTTTCGATCAGCTTCAAACGCGACCGTTGAACGACGGATCATACGCACGTCTATCAAGTGATTATTTCCCGTGGGATGGCTTGGATGCTTGATACAGTAACTATCTTGGTCTGTCGCGTCTTGCACGGTTCTGAGTGAAGCTGCCCGTATGGATTACGCGCGACTCGGCAAGTGCTATGGTCTGGTCCCCAAAAGCAGGCATGAGCCAAAAGTAAGCAGAATTCGGCTCAGCGCATTTCTCTACGTTTTAGAACGTTTGATTACGGTAGTTTGGTGGTCGGTGACATGCCCCATCGGATCAGGTTTGTAACAAAACTGGTGTCAATTTCGCCAGCGAGGACAAGCCGATTTCGTCCGTCTAGTTCGACTGACCCTAGGCTCGGGAATGGAACAGGTTCGAATTTGTTGCAGATCGGGCAGCTTCACACAACGGCAAATAACAAGAAAAATCTTCAAACATGAATGCTTTATCTGGAATACTCGATAAGACGCTTTTATCGAAGAGTACGACATACTGAAACGCGGATGTGTTCAGATTCTGCCTGGCTTGGTAGCATCTGCATTCAACAAGAATGCGTTCACGGCAATTGTAGGAACTCTGGCTCATCATCAGCCTAGGCATAATTCTAATTCCGAGGCTGCTGCTGTATCATCAGTTTCGAGGCGCCTCAAAATATAGTCTTTGTTAGATACGAAGGGCCGAGACTGTTGTTAGCATCAAAGCGACTACGGTTCAGAAGTCGGCAGTGTGTAGCTCTCCAGAGCGATTGGTAGGAGGCAGCGCAAGGAGCAGGAGAGTGTGTGTGAGAGAGCGAGAGTGCGGTGAATGTAGTGATTGTTTGTGACAACGAGGTGAGGAAACGAGTGAGTGCGAGTGAGAGGTTAAGGGCGAGTGAGTGAGTGAGAGAGTGAGTGAGAGAGAGTGAGAGTGCAAGCAACATGTCGATGACGGTACAGGAATATCTCGACCGGCACAAGCTGTCGCTGCGGATAGAGGAGGCGGTCAATGCGGCCGTGCGGGCGAAATCCGACGAACCAATCGCATTCATTGTAAGTTTTCCTGTTAGGCTCCGTTATAAGCCGCCTCGTTAGTGTTGGTGGTTACAAGCTGTCGCTGCGGATAGAGCAGGCGGGTAATGCATCCGTACGGGCGAAACTGGATGAACCAATCGCATTATTGTAAGCTCAACCTGTTACCACTCGTTTCAACCTGACGCGACAGTGTCCGCTTTGTTATAAACTGACCCCCACCCTTCGACACGTCTCCCACACTACCCCCTCGTAGTGCTCGGCGTGCAGTGGTGAAGAGGATTTTAGAGTGGTTACGGATAGGGATTTGCTTGCACCATTGCACTCTGCCCCCCAACACCGCGTAGGCGCGCCATTTATAGTGCGCAGCCCTGTCAATCGTCCTGAGCGTGAGGGGGAGCCAACGGTGAAGGTGGAGGGAGGCGGCTCAGGAACCACACACAAGCCCCGTTCCTTCACTTCTGCTACCCAGTCCCATCCCAGGCACGCTACCTGCAGCGCGCAGCCCCGTCTGTGATCCTGAGCGTCAAGGTGCGCACAGTGCTGGATGCACGGGGGGAGCCCACGGTGGAGGCGGAGGTGGGCAGCTGAAGAAACACTTGGCATAGCTACCCCCCCTTTCCTTCTCTTCTTATATCCCATCCCTTCCCAGGCACGGCACCTGCAACGCGCAGCCCCCTCAGTCATCCTGGGAGTCAAGAGGCGCATGGTGCTAGATGCACGGAGGGAGCCCATAGTGGAGGCAACTGAAAATTGGCATACCCGTCGCCCTCTGCCCCTTCCCAACCCAACCCTTCCCAATCGTCCCACACAGGCGCGCCACCTGCAACGTGCAGCCCCGTCAGTCATTCTAAGTGTGAAGGGTCGCATGGTGCTGGATGCACGGCGGGAGCCCACGGTGGAGCGGAGGTGGGCGACGCAGAAACCACACACCAGCCCCCTTTCCCCCACTCCTGCTCCCCTATCCCATTGCTCTCCCCCAGGCTCGCCACTTGCAGCGTGCAGCCCCATCTGTGATCCTGAGTGTCAAGGGGCGAATGGTGCTGGATGCACGGGGGGAGCCCACGGTGGAGGTGGAGGTGGGCTCGCACAGGGGCAAGTTCCGCGCCTCCGTGCCCACTGGCGTTACTTCTGGCATGTGAGCGTTACATCTGGCATGCTGGCGTTGCATCTGGCACGTGAGCGTTACATCTGGCAAGTGAGCGTTGCATCTGGCATGTGAGTGTTGCATCTGGCATGTGTGAGCTGCCCTCAGAGAAGTTACCCACTGACCACACCGGACCCAACCCGGCCCGACCCGATCCGACCCGACCCGACCCGACCCGACCTGACCTGACCCAACTTGAAGCGACCCGAATCCACCCGACCCAACTCGACCCAACTTGACCTAACTTGACCTGACCCGACTTGAACCGACCTGAATTGACCTGGCCCGACCTGACCAGACCCGACCCGTCCCGACCCGACCCAACCCGACTTGACTGAACCCAACTAGAACCGACCCGACCGACCTGACCAGACCTGTCCAGACCAGACCTGACCCGACCCGACCCGACCCGACCCGACTCGACGCGTCCCAAACCAACCCGACCCAATGTGACCCGAACCGATTGATTGAACCCAACCTGACCAGACTTGACCCGACCCTACTTTACCCAAACCGACTCGAGGGCGGTGGGGAATATGAGTGAGGGGATTGCAGCATGTCACACCCTCACCACCTTCTTCCCTTATCCCCAACCTCTCCCATCCCTCCTTCTCTCCCCATTCTATCGCAGATACGAAGCGGTGGAAGTGAGGGATGGGGACGAGGGGGAATTCTTTGGAAGGGGCGTGCAGAAGGCGGTGGGGAATGTGAGCGACGCGATTGCAGCATGTCACACCCTTACCACCCCTCTCCCCATTCTCTCCTTCTTTCCCCATTCTGTCCCAGATATGAAGCGGTGGAAGTGCGGGATGGGGACGAGGGGGAGTTCTTCGGAAGGGGCGCAGAGGGCGGTGGGGAATGTGAGCGAGTGATGCGATTGCAGCATCTCACGCCCTTACCACCCCTCTCCTTCTCCCTCCATTCTTTCCTTCTCTCCCCATTCTGTCCCCCTTCGATATGAGGCAGTCGAAGTGAGGGATGGGGACGAGGGCGAATTATTCGGGAGGGGCGTGCAGAGGGCGGCGGGGAATGTGAGCGACGCGATAACAGCACCACCTTCCACTCCCCCCAACCCCTCGTTCTCTTTCCACCTTTCTCCCTCGCCCCGTTCCCACCCACCCAGCTACGAGGCAGTGGAGGTGAGGGATGGGGACGAGGGGGAGTTCTTTGGAAGGGGCGTGCAGCGGGCGGTGGCGAATGTGAGCGACGCGATTGCAGCAGCGGTGGTGGGCAGGGACCCTCGGGAGCAAGGGGAGATAGATAGGCTGATGGCTGCTGAACTGGATCAGACTGACAACAAGGTGGGTGGGTGGAGGATAAGGTAACAAGGGGGAAGGAAGGGTGCAGCAGCAGTGGCGGGGAGGGACCCTCGTGAGCAAGGCGAGATCGATAGGCTGATGGCAGCCGAACTTGATCAGACAAACAACAAGGTGAGGAGGGGATGGGGGAATGGGGCTGAAAAGGGATACTCGAGTCAAGGGAAATAACAGCGTGCAGCAGCGGTTGTGGGGAGGGACCCTCGCAAGCAAGGCGAGATTGACCGACTAATGGCCGCTGAACTAAATCAGACTGACAACAAGGTGGGTGGGGATGAAGGAGGGAGGGTGGGGCTGGTAAAGGGGAGCAAAAGGGGGGATTGAGGGAAGGGTTTAGGCCCAGGGGAAATATTGGTGTGCAGCAGCGGTGGTGGGAAGGGAAATTTGCGAGCAGGAAAAGATTGATAGGCTGATGGCTGCTGAGCTGGACCAGACTGATAACAAGCTGGGTACCATTGCCACTCTCGCCGTGTCTCCTTCACTCACACATCCCCCTCTCTTCTCCTTTCTCTAATTCGCCCCCCTGTCCCCCCCTTGCTTTCAGGGCGAGCTAGGCGCCAATGCCATTCTCGCCGTGTCTCTGGCCATGTGTCGGGCAGGTGCAGCAGAGAGAGAGGTGAGTGGGTGTGGGAGTGCGTGGGTGGAGCAAGGGGGAGGTGGAACGTCAGGGGGAAAAGGGTGGCCATGTGTCAGGCAGGTGCAGCAGAGAGAGAGGTGAGTGGGTGTGGGAGTGCGTGGGTGGAGCAAGGGGGAGGTGGAACGTCAGGGGGAAAAGGGTGGCCATGTGTCAGGCAGGTGCAGCAGAGAGAGAGGTGAGTGGGTGTGGGAGTGCGTGGGTGGAGCAAGGGGGAGGTGGAACGTCAGGGGGAAAAGGGTGGCCATGTGTCAGGCAGGTGCAGCAGAGAGAGAGGTGAGTGGGTGTGGGAGTGCGTGGGTGGAGCAAGGGGGAGGTGGAACGTCAGGGGGAAAAGGGTGGCCATGTGTCAGGCAGGTGCAGCAGAGAGAGAGGTGAGTGGGTGTGGGAGTGCGTGGGTGGAGCAAGGGGGAGGTGGAACGTCAGGGGGAAAAGGGTGGCCATGTGTCAGGCAGGTGCAGCAGAGAGAGAGGTGAGTGGGTGTGGGAGTGCGTGGGTGGAGCAAGGGGGAGGTGGAACGTCAGGGGGAAAAGGGTGGCCATGTGTCAGGCAGGTGCAGCAGAGAGAGAGGTGAGTGGGTGTGGGAGTGCGTGGGTGGAGCAAGGGGGAGGTGGAACGTCAGGGGGAAAAGGGTGGCCATGTGTCAGGCAGGTGCAGCAGAGAGAGAGGTGAGTGGGTGTGGGAGTGCGTGGGTGGAGCAAGGGGGAGGTGGAACGTCAGGGGGAAAAGGGTGGCCATGTGTCAGGCAGGTGCAGCAGAGAGAGAGGTGAGTGGGTGTGGGAGTGCGTGGGTGGAGCAAGGGGGAGGTGGAACGTCAGGGGGAAAAGGGTGGCCATGTGTCAGGCAGGTGCAGCAGAGAGAGAGGTGAGTGGGTGTGGGAGTGCGTGGGTGGAGCAAGGGGGAGGTGGAACGTCAGGGGGAAAAGGGTGGCCATGTGTCAGGCAGGTGCAGCAGAGAGAGAGGTGAGTGGGTGTGGGAGTGCGTGGGTGGAGCAAGGGGGAGGTGGAACGTCAGGGGGAAAAGGGTGGCCATGTGTCAGGCAGGTGCAGCAGAGAGAGAGGTGAGTGGGTGTGGGAGTGCGTGGGTGGAGCAAGGGGGAGGTGGAACGTCAGGGGGAAAAGGGTGGCCATGTGTCAGGCAGGTGCAGCAGAGAGAGAGGTGAGTGGGTGTGGGAGTGCGTGGGTGGAGCAAGGGGGAGGTGGAACGTCAGGGGGAAAAGGGTGGCCATGTGTCAGGCAGGTGCAGCAGAGAGAGAGGTGAGTGGGTGTGGGAGTGCGTGGGTGGAGCAAGGGGGAGGTGGAACGTCAGGGGGAAAAGGGTGGCCATGTGTCAGGCAGGTGCAGCAGAGAGAGAGGTGAGTGGGTGTGGGAGTGCGTGGGTGGAGCAAGGGGGAGGTGGAACGTCAGGGGGAAAAGGGTGGCCATGTGTCAGGCAGGTGCAGCAGAGAGAGAGGTGAGTGGGTGTGGGAGTGCGTGGGTGGAGCAAGGGGGAGGTGGAACGTCAGGGGGAAAAGGGTGGCCATGTGTCAGGCAGGTGCAGCAGAGAGAGAGGTGAGTGGGTGTGGGAGTGCGTGGGTGGAGCAAGGGGGAGGTGGAACGTCAGGGGGAAAAGGGTGGCCATGTGTCAGGCAGGTGCAGCAGAGAGAGAGGTGAGTGGGTGTGGGAGTGCGTGGGTGGAGCAAGGGGGAGGTGGAACGTCAGGGGGAAAAGGGTGGCCATGTGTCAGGCAGGTGCAGCAGAGAGAGAGGTGAGTGGGTGTGGGAGTGCGTGGGTGGAGCAAGGGGGAGGTGGAACGTCAGGGGGAAAAGGGTGGCCATGTGTCAGGCAGGTGCAGCAGAGAGAGAGGTGAGTGGGTGTGGGAGTGCGTGGGTGGAGCAAGGGGGAGGTGGAACGTCAGGGGGAAAAGGGTGGCCATGTGTCAGGCAGGTGCAGCAGAGAGAGAGGTGAGTGGGTGTGGGAGTGCGTGGGTGGAGCAAGGGGGAGGTGGAACGTCAGGGGGAAAAGGGTGGCCATGTGTCAGACAGGTGCAGCAGAGAGAGAGGTGAGTGGGTGTGGGAGTGCGTGGGTGGAGCAAGGGGGAGGTGGAACGTCAGGGGGAAAAGGGTGGCCATGTGTCAGGCAGGTGCAGCAGAGAGAGAGGTGAGTGGGTGTGGGAGTGCGTGGGTGGAGCAAGGGGGAGGTGGAACGTCAGGGGGAAAAGGGTGGCCATGTGTCAGGCAGGTGCAGCAGAGAGAGAGGTGAGTGGGTGTGGGAGTGCGTGGGTGGAGCAAGGGGGAGGTGGAACGTCAGGGGGAAAAGGGTGGCCATGTGTCAGGCAGGTGCAGCAGAGAGAGAGGTGAGTGGGTGTGGGAGTGCGTGGGTGGAGCAAGGGGGAGGTGGAACGTCAGGGGGAAAAGGGTGGCCATGTGTCAGGCAGGTGCAGCAGAGAGAGAGGTGAGTGGGTGTGGGAGTGCGTGGGTGGAGCAAGGGGGAGGTGGAACGTCAGGGGGAAAAGGGTGGCCATGTGTCAGGCAGGTGCAGCAGAGAGAGAGGTGAGTGGGTGTGGGAGTGCGTGGGTGGAGCAAGGGGGAGGTGGAACGTCAGGGGGAAAAGGGTGGCCATGTGTCAGGCAGGTGCAGCAGAGAGAGAGGTGAGTGGGTGTGGGAGTGCGTGGGTGGAGCAAGGGGGAGGTGGAACGTCAGGGGGAAAAGGGTGGCCATGTGTCAGGCAGGTGCAGCAAAGAGAGAGGTGAGTGGGTGTGGGAGTGCGTGGGTGGAGCAAGGGGGAGGTGGAACGTCAGGGGGAAAAGGGTGGCCATGTGTCAGGCAGGTGCAGCAGAGAGAGAGGTGAGTGGGTGTGGGAGTGCGTGGGTGGAGCAAGGGGGAGGTGGAACGTCAGGGGGAAAAGGGTGGCCATGTGTCAGGCAGGTGCAGCAGAGAGAGAGGTGAGTGGGTGTGGGAGTGCGTGGGTGGAGCAAGGGGGAGGTGGAACGTCAGGGGGAAAAGGGTGGCCATGTGTCAGGCAGGTGCAGCAGAGAGAGAGGTGAGTGGGTGTGGGAGTGCGTGGGTGGAGCAAGGGGGAGGTGGAACGTCAGGGGGAAAAGGGTGGCCATGTGTCAGGCAGGTGCAGCAGAGAGAGAGGTGAGTGGGTGTGGGAGTGCGTGGGTGGAGCAAGGGGGAGGTGGAACGTCAGGGGGAAAAGGGTGGCCATGTGTCAGGCAGGTGCAGCAAAGAGAGAGGTGAGTGGGTGTGGGAGTGCGTGGGTGGAGCAAGGGGGAGGTGGAACGTCAGGGGGAAAAGGGTGGCCATGTGTCAGGCAGGTGCAGCAGAGAGAGAGGTGAGTGGGTGTGGGAGTGCGTGGGTGGAGCAAGGGGGAGGTGGAACGTCAGGGGGAAAAGGGTGGCCATGTGTCAGGCAGGTGCAGCAGAGAGAGAGGTGAGTGGGTGTGGGAGTGCGTGGGTGGAGCAAGGGGGAGGTGGAACGTCAGGGGGAAAAGGGTGGCCATGTGTCAGGCAGGTGCAGCAGAGAGAGAGGTGAGTGGGTGTGGGAGTGCGTGGGTGGAGCAAGGGGGAGGTGGAACGTCAGGGGGAAAAGGGTGGCCATGTGTCAGGCAGGTGCAGCAGAGAGAGAGGTGAGTGGGTGTGTGAGTGTGTGAGTGTGTGTGTGTGTGTGTGTGTGTGTGTGTGTGTGTGAGCCTTTGCGTGCATGTGTGTTTTCAAGGATTCTGTAACCCATTTAGTTTCTCCCTTTACCCCATAACTGCACCTCTCACTGCAGCTCTCCCTTAGTGTACATCGCCTCATTCACTTGTTACCTGCCATTCCCCCTCTTTGCACTCCCTCTCCTTACTCCCCTCTCTTGCCCCCAACCACACCACAATCGCACCTCCCACTGCTGGGGTACATCGCCTTGCTGGCAGGAGTTCGACCTCTCACGCTCTCCTTCCCCCACTCCCCCTCCCCTCTTCACTCCTCGCCCCCATCGCCCTGCTCCCAGCCCCCACTGCATGAGTACATCGCCTCCCTGGCAGCAGTCCCCCACCCCTCGCTCCCCGTGCCCGAGTTCGCGCTCCCCTCGTCTCCTTCACTTGCTGCCATTCACCTCGCATCTCGTCCACCTCTCGTACCCCTCTCTTGTCTCTGACCCCTGCTCACTCACTCACCCCCCCTGGTCATCTCGCAGCTGCCACTACACGAATACATCGCCTCTTTGGCAGCAGTCCCCCACCCCTCTCTTCCTGTGCCTGAGTTCGCCCTCCTCTCGGGCTCCCTCACGCCCTCCTCTGCCGCATCTCCTCCTTTCCATGTGAGTTGAGCTGAGTTGAGAGGGAATCAAACGCATTGAAAGTGGGAGAATTAAGCGTGCTGAGAAGCAGAAAAGTAATGCTCCCCTCACTGTTCACTTAGTTGAAGCTTGTTTGGTTACGGCAGGCACTGCCTTTCTCCCCTCTCTGTACATTGTTTCCCATCCTTATTCCTCCTCTCCCCATCCTTCACGATCCCACTCACCCCTGTCCCTGTCCACTCACCTCCCCCAGTCCCTCTCCATCGTGCCACTAGGAGCATCCACGTTTTCAGAGGCAGTGCGGATCGGAGCAGAGGTGCAGCACTGCCTGCAGGTGTGAGGGGAGAGAGAGGGGGGGGGGGATAGGGGAAGGAGAGTGGATGAGGGATAGGTTGGGGCGTGAACCGTTGAGAGGGGAAATGGGTCAGAGGCATGTAGAAGGGTGTTTACATGAACTCACATCACGCACAACCATATGAAGGTCATATACAATGCCATGACATCGCGTCAAATCCCATCGCATCGCGACATATCACATCCCATTGTGCGTCGCCCCATCCCATTCCATCCCATTCCACCCCATTCCACCCCATTCCACCCCTTTCCACCCCTTTCCACCACATTCAACGGCGTTTTCCACCAGGCGCTTGCAGCGGAGCGGTTTGGGGCAGCAGCAGCAGCGCTGGTGACTGATGATGGCAGCTTGGGTCTGCCTCTTGAAAGGTACGGTTGCAGGTTTCAATATGGCTATCTTGTCTGTTACCTTGCAGTGTACGAGATCACAATGAGGTGACTTTGATTGGACTCAGAAATCACCTTGGCTGACTGAATGGTAATTTGCGTGTCGCCATGCTGTGTGTGGGGCCACATTTGACAGCCTCATTAGGGCCGATGACTGACAAGGGCAGCTTGGGTCTGCCAAGTGGAAGGCCCTTTGACGCTGGCCAAAGGTGCCGTGCCGTGCAAGGGCTGTTTGCCAGAACGAGCACCTGTGATGCGTGCTTTCGGGCGGGCGGGCGGGCGGGCGGGCGGGCAGGCTTGCAGTCCCTCATTTCTTCCCCGTTCCAACATCCTTACTTCCCCAACGCACCCCCCCTTACCCCTTCCCCCATCCCCCTTCTCCACCCTTTTCGCACCCCCCTCCAGTCCCCACATTCCAATTCCACCCCCAGTCGTATGTCCTTCCCTGCTCACCTCCCCCCACCCCCCCCCCCTTCTCCGTCCTCATCCTCCCATTTGACCCCACCCCACCAGCATACAAGGCGGTTTATTGCAGCTGCTGATGTTTTCCCCCACTCCCCCCTTCCCCACTTCCCTTCCTCACACTCCCCCCAACTCCCCCCCCCCCCTCCCCCCCTAACCAGCATACGGGATGGTCTGCAGCTGCTGACGTCAGCAGTGTCAAAAGCAGGGCACAGTGAGAAAGTGAAGATTAGCGTGCATGCAGCGTTGGGAGGGCGTGTGACAGGTTAGTGGAATGGAATGGGGGGATGAGTTGTCACTCAGAGACAGTGAGAGATGATTGTACGGTGAGGGAGGATGGGCACAGTGAGAAAGTGAAGATTAGCATGGGAGGGCGTGTGACAGGTGACTGTAAAGGGGGAGTGGGTGAGTGATTTTAGAGGGTGGAAGGGTGGGCATGCAGAGAAAGTAATGAAGATTTGTATGCATGCAGCGTTGGGAGGGTGTGTGACAGATGAGGGTCACTGTGACCAGAGTATGCATTACCCAACGTCCCATCACATCTCACTCGCTCATCCTCTCCCCGCCTCACAGACGAGGGTCACTATGACCTGGGTATGCAGCAGCTGGAGCATCTGCTGGGCGGCAGTGGTGGTGACATCAGCATGACATCAGCCAACAGCAGTGGAAGCAGTTTGGAGCAAGTGACAGTCCAGCAGCTCATAGACGTGTACCAGCAGCTGTGCTCAGGTGAATTTCCAGCTGTGCGCAGGTGAATTTCCAGCTGTGCGCAGGTGAGAAGTCCAGGAATGCCCCTGTGATTGTAGACGAGTATCGCCAACTGTGCTTGGGTGGGGTACGGAGCAAGTGACAGTCCAGCAGCTCATACACGTGCAGCACCAGCAGCTGTGCTCAGGTGAATCAGCCGCTGTGCTCAGGTGAATCAGCAGCTGTGCTCAGGTGAATCAGCAGCTGTGCTCAGGTGAGTCAGCAGCTGTGCTCAGGTGAATCAGCAGCTGTGCTCAGGTGAGTCAGCAGCTGTGCTCAGGTGAATCAGCAGATGCGCTCAGGTGAATCCTGCTCTTTTCCTTCCTCTTGCCCGTTGCCCATCCTCGTTACAGAGTTCCCCATTGTGAGCATAGAGGACCCGTTTGACCAGGAAGACTTTGACGCCACTCAAGCCCTCTCAGAGGCTGGCTTCACCCAGGTGCGTCCCTCACTCACACACTCCCCTCACTCACACCCTCACTCACACAATTCCTCACTCATTCCCTCGCGCATGCGCACTCCCCCTCAGAGGCAGGGTTCACTCAGGTGTGTCTCAGGGCTTGTGCTTTCACTCATGCCCCCGCTAATGCTCACTCCGTCATTCGTGCCTTACCTAGTCCCTTGACTTCAATATTGTGCTTTCACCACATGGTACCACATGGCACCGCCTCCCACCGCATCACACCGCATGACTTGCAGGTGGTGGGCAACGACCTGCTGGTCTCCAATGCCAAGCGACTGGCCCAAGCCATTGAGAGGCGCACGTGCAGTGGCATTGCAATCAAGGTGAGTGGTACCGCATTGCACCACATTGCACCGCATTACACCGTATCACGAGCACATGGTGGGCAACGACCTGCTGGTCTCCAATGCCAAGCGACTGGCTCAAGCGATTGAGAGACGCACATGCAGTGGCATCGCAATTAAAGGGCAACACCCGAATTGCTCAACGGAGTCAACGGGGGAAAAATAGGTTCGGAAAGGTAGGCGATTGGGGGTTTGGACAACATCCGAAACCCTTTTTCCCTGAACCCAGTAGGGGCGAGACACAAACTGGGGCCAGTTTGTGAAGGCTTTTCTGTAATTCGGGGGCTGGGCTTTAAGGTGAGCGGTACCGCATTGCACCACACTGCATCAGGTGCAGTGGCGTTTCCATCAAGGTGAGCTGTACCCCATTGCACCGCTCTGCAATACGTGCAGTGGCATTGCCATCAAGGTGAGAAATCTCTCATTGCACCGCATTGCACCCTGTTGCATCGCATCTGCAATGGCAATGCCATCAACCTTATCACACTGCATTACACCACATCACACGCAGGGGCTGTCAGAGGCACCAGAGGTAGCCAAGGCAGCAGGAGCAACGTTGCATTTGAAGCCAATGTTGGAATCTTTCTTCTCTCTGCTCCCCTCTTCCCTCCCACTGCCACCAGCTCCCCCTGATCGGGACTCTGTCACACAGGCCCGCCAAAGCAGCAAGAACAGGTGAACCCATTATCCCCACTCTCTCTTCTCTCTTCCCCCTCCGCTCCACACCAGCTCCCCCTAATCGACACTCTCTCAGAGGCTCTAAAGGTGGCCAAGGCAGCAAGATCAGGCAAAGCCAATACTGCTACTACTCCCCCTAATCTGCACTCTCCCCCCTCCCTCCCTTCGTTTCCCACCAGCTCCCCCTAATCGGCACTCTCTCAGAAGCCCTAGAGGTGGCCAAGGCAGCGAGAGCAAGGGATGCCGAGCTAACTACCCTCCTTTCCTCTTGCCTCTTCTTCCCACCAGCTCCCCTCGGCACCCTCCCAAAGGCCTTAAAGTGGCCAAGGCAGCGAGAGCAGGTGAAACCAATATCGCTGCTCTCTCTTCTCTCTTCCCCCTCTTCTCCCCCCCTCTTCTCCCCCCCTCTTCTCGCCCCCACTTCTCCCCACCAGCTCCCCCTCATCGGCACTCTCTCAGAGGCCCTAGAGGTGGCCAAGGCAGCGAGGGCAGGTGAACCCAACATTGCGAATCCTTCTTCTCTCTGTTCTTCTCTCCCCCTCCCACCAGCTCCCCCTTATTGGCACTCTCTCAGAGGCCCTAGAGGTGGCCAAGGCAGCGAGAGCAGCGGGGTGGACTGTGGCGGTGGCAGGTGGGGTGGGGCGGCAGGGGGACACGGAGGACTGCATGCTTGCTGACGTGGCAGTGGGCATGGGGGCCCAGCGAATCAAGGCAGGGGGTGTGTGTCGGGGCGAGCGATGCGCCAAGTATAACCAGGTGATGCCTGATGCTGTAGAATGGGGGGAAAGAAAGAATTTAAAAGCTGGTTTCCATGAAATCCGCAACATTCCAATTTCTGGTTGGCCTGGTTTTACTACTATTTGTGTGTGTCATGATGCCCTGGCCACTTGTCGTGTGCTGGTTCTCACTTTGCAACGATGAATGCCTTCTGTGTTGTTGCAGCTTTTACGGATTGAGGAAGAGCTCGGAAGCAAGGCGACTTATGCAGCAGCAACAGCAGTTGTGATGCCACCAAGTAAATGAGCTGAGCACTAACAGATATGGAAAATCAGTTGAAAATAGTCCAGTTTGTGTGAATGTGAAGTCATTGGGTTTTTTTGTGTGTGTGTGTGTGTTTTTTTTTTTTTAATAAGGCATAAAAGGTGTATCGGGTGCTTTTAGGTGTATCGGGTGCTTTTTTTTTGGAAAAGCCACCTCGATTCTGTCAGAACCCTCCCAGACCAGATTGACAAAATCAGCTTTCCCGCTTGCGATGGAACTTTACTCAACCGTTTCAGAGCCCTTACGAACCATCATGAAACCGAAGCAAACTCTTTGAACCGCACTAGCCGAGGTGAAAGCGACCTGGCTGCGACACGTGTGGACCTATCTCAAGGTGGAAGAAGGTTGACTCGTCGCCGCACTGCATTCATGCTAAATTACTTCAAACCTGAATGAACGCCTCCGACCCCAAAACAGTTGTGAAGGTGATCGAACCTGAAGTGTGTATATCATCTCGAGGTTGTGAATTTTCTCTGGGTAGGTCGTTCTTTCCATGGCTAGTCTTCCGCTTTTGTTTCTCTTAGGGCCACACGTGAACTCGCAAGGATCTCGGTACGGATCGTAGGCTGGACTTCAAACTCCGGCTTCGATTAGTCAAGGAGCTGCGTGTCGCCTCTTAACTTCTGTCGATCTTTAGCTTCTCATGCGTCCCGTTGCTCCTTTACTTCTTTCCGGGTGTTTCTCCGCATACTCTACGCTCGTGACGATCTTCGAGCTATCAATGTCAGTTCACCACTCCATGCTAATTTCATACCATCTTTTCCTTCACCGAACTTCGTTTTCCTATTTTTCGGTTCCTTTTCCAGTGAATTTAATGCCTCTACTCCCGTCATCCCATGGTTCTCCTTTGTTCCTTCTCGCTACCCGAGTCAGTTTTGCTATTATTTGTTTTTGCTAGATTTGTTTTGATTTGTTGAATGCCTAAGCAGCCAGCAGTAATTTACCCTTCATTTATTGGATTATCCTTTACGAGATTACCGGAGATTGTGACTTGATTTCTCCCTCGATTTACTATCAGGTGCTCAGTGGTGACTAAACCGAGTTAAGTGTGGCTAATATGGAGGATGCATCGCAAGCACCCCATTTACATCACCACCATCGCAAGCGACGGCGAGGGTGGGAAAAAGGACCATACGTGCGTGTGCATTACGAGAACCTGTCAAAGTAAGCACTGTAGTCTTTGTGACAATTGTGTGGAATTTGTCAGACCTTACATTTGTCGGATATTATGTGACAATGGTCTGACTGACCAACACGTGACATTTTTCTGACCATATCAAACATTTGTCTGAGACATTAATCTGACAGTCAGATGACAATGTTTTCAGTTCAGATGAATGCCAATTCAGCCTGATTTCTTGCCATAGTCAACTCTTATACTCGGCATCGGATCTTCTATCCGTATCATGCTCATGTTTCGACACGGCAATGTGTCAATTCTTGTGATCACACTTCTTCCCATGCATGAGCCTTGGATCCGAATGTTTGATGTGATGACAGAGCCAGCTTGGATCATCTTCAGAACCTCCTGTCCTCGTGGTCCTCATGGGAGTCCACCCAAACTCCAACCTCTGTGAGCACCGATCCCATACACTGTGTGTACAGTACAGACCGTACATTGCTCAACAAAAGGCTTACTCTTGTTGCAAACATAACATCTCGTTATTTATCACGAGCTATCATATTGCCATTTACCACTGCTTCCTTTGCACCTTGAGGGTTCCCCCTTGTGCGTCTTCTCTCATCTTCTCTCCACATCTCTTCTCTTCACTCTTCTCCTACTTACTTCTCTCCTCGTCTCTCTTTTCCTCTCCTCTCCTCTCCTCCTCTCTCATCTTCCTCGTATGGATGGCATGTACAGGAACGCGAGGGTCAGGAGCAGCAGGGCACAAGGCTGAGTGGAACAGACGTCTACTTCCCCTCCTCTGGGCCTTCCTCTGCAGCAGTCCCCTCTGTGCTATCTCGCCTTGGTCCTCTGGGTTCCTTTCGCTCTCCTGGGGCTACAGGGCAGGGATCCATAGCACCACTGGTGGGTTTCTTTCTTTTGTTGGTGGGTTGCCTTCTTTTGTTGGTTGCAGGATTGGATTCGCGCCCCCTATTGCACCGATGAAGGGTCGCGTCTTCTTGTTTGGTGGTCTGAAAGGCACTGGCTGGCTGGCCTCATGTTATCTTTGGCAAGGAGGAGCAGGAGCCTGGTTGGGTTGGTTCACGGCCATACAGCTGAAGTACTACAGCAAGTCCTGATAGAGTAGAGACTACACTACATACATTGTTATCACTGTACAGTGGTCCTTCTGTTTCATGCTGGTGAGGGCTCTGGGTCGATGTGCATGCCTTCTCGTGCATAGTCGCTTTTCTGGTTTTCTTCCCTACGTTGTCTCCCCTTTCCCTCTTTTCTCCCTCCCCACTCTCCCATGCAGCGTGTATGGGCTGCTCTTCCCCCGCCCAAGCCACTGCTTTCCCCCTCACTTCCTCCGAAGCAGTCACAACCGCCATCTGCTGTTGCTGAACCTTCTACTGGCTCTCCTGGTACTGTTGGTGCTGCCGGTGCTTCTGGGGATGTTAATGCTGGTGCTGTTGCAGGTACCGATGTTGCAGGTGCTGCTGCATCTCGCAACGATGATGGCCAAGCTGGTCTTTCCGCTACTGCTGCCACAGATTCCACTGCTGATGCTGCTTTGAACGGTGCTTCTGTGACTGTTGCTGCTGCAAGTGCCACTGTCGCAGGCTCTGCTGCCGCTGCTGCCGCGGTTGCTGCCAGCGGCGGTGGGAGTTTGGCAGGGGTTCGCAGTGGCGTCACGTTCAATAAGCACTACAGCACAGCCAACGACGTGCCTCTCTATGATAGGTCAGAATCAGGCCTCGTTTTGGGCGTTCATAGCAGCAGGAGCACAGGTGTAGGTGCAGGCGTTAACGGAACATCCACGGGCGATGGGTCCCAGCCAGGAAAGGACTCCAATGCTCCCTCTGATACAGCACCAGAATCAGCAGCAGGAGGAGGGGGAGGGGACCTTTCCACCCTCACACCTCTCTTCCTCCATTCAAACTCCTCTCGCACAGAGGAGGCACTCAAGTTAAAATCCGCCGCCCGCTGCTTCAACTGCGGCTCCTACACTCACGCTCTGCGGGAATGCCAACGCCCAAGGGACCATGCCGCTGTAGCAGCCGCCCGAGCAGAACACGCAGGGGCGAAGGGGCAGGGTGGGAAGAGTGGAAACAGTGCTGCTGGGGAGGGAGGGGTGGGGAATTCCAGGTATTATGGGTTTGGAGGGGCGGGGGGCGGGAAAGGGAGAGGAGGAGGATCGATGGAGGAAAGGTTTGAAGGGCTCGTGCCGGGTGTGCTCAGTGCGGAGCTGCGTGCAGCCATGGGCATCGGGGTGAGTGATTCGGCATGCGTTAGGGAAATTTGAGTTGAGTTTGTGTGTGTTGCTGGTGAAGGGGGTAGGAGGAGGGATGAAGGGATCGTGCCGGGTGTGCTGAGTGCGGAGCTGCGTGCTGCCATGGGCATAGGGGTGAGTTTGAGTTAGGGAAATATGGCAATTGAAGTGGGTTTGGGTGTGCTATGGGATCTGAGGGGGTTGGGTGGGGTGTGCTGGCGGTAGCTGCGAAACTGTTGAGGCTAAAGGAGGGAGGGATGGAGGAGACGTATGAGAGCCTGCTGCCAGGTGTGTTGAGTTCAGAGGTGCATGTTGCCGTGGGTCTAGGAGTGTATTCCTCCCCGCTCCGCTCCCTCCTCACACACCTCCTTCTCTCTCCCTACTTACCATAAAACCCCTTTCTCACATCCCCGTCATTTCATTTTTTGTCCCTCTCCTTTGCAGGATCGTGACCCCCCTCCATGGCTCAGGCGAATGCGAGAGCTGGGGTACCCGCCTGGCTATCTTGGCTGTAAGTTTCGACCCGACAGGATTTGACCTAAGAGCTGACTCGAAGCAGTCAATTTAAAACCCTCTTTGGGAGCCAGACCACCTTCCTGGCTATCTTGGCTGTAAACCCACACTTTCCTCTGGCTGGGCGAATCATTAGGTCTCTAGATCATTGTGTTCTCCCCCGTCCCCCCTCCCTCCCCTCACGCCACGCCCTTCCCCTCTTCCTCCTATATTTTCGTCTGGAGCTGCTTTGTTCAACCTTTCAATCAGTCTTTTCTCCTAGTCTCCAGTTCTTTCCCAACATTTTTTTTTTTTTTTTTTTTTTTTCGTATCAGCCTGACAGCAGTCTCTGCAGAATCGAATTACATGGTGCCTTCACGCTTCCTGCCTATGTCTCCTTCTGTGTGTATTAATGAGCAGACGAAGAGGAGGAGAAGGCAGAGGTGAAAGGTCAGGGAGCAGCAGCAGCAGCAGCAGCAGAGAAGGCTTCAAAGGAGGAGGGAGAGGACACTGATAGCGAGGCAGGAGAAATTTCAGCAGAGACCAACACTGAAGGAAAACCAGTCAAAGAGAAATCTGCTGCTCCTACTGCTGCTGCTGCTGCTGCTGAAGACATGAATGGGTTCAAGTCCCTTGCTCTTGTGCTGGATGATGCTTCCGAGGAAGGTTCCCTTGATGCTGATGGTGGTGGAGATGGGGAGAGGGGACGTGAAACGACTCCTGAACCCGAACCTTTCCTGGTTCCTACTGTCGAGTTTCCGGGCTTAAATGCTCCTCCTCCTGAGGGTGCGGATGAATACGTGTGGGGAGGGAGGGGGTGGCGGGCGGAATGGGAGGAGAGTGAGAGGAGGAGGAGGTTGAGGTATGAGGAGCAGAGGTGGGAGGAGGAATGCCGGATTTTGAGAGAGAGGGAGGAGAGGGAGAAGGGTAAGGAGGGAAAGGGAGATGAGGATGAGAGGGATAGGAAGCGGAGGAGGTTGGGTAAGGATGATTCTGCTGATGAGAAGAGAGAGCGAGGTAAGCATGATGGGGAGGGAAGGGCGGGAAGGGATAGGAAGGGTGATAAGGAGAGGGATGGGGATAGAGACGGAAGAAGGGACAGGAGCAGGGAGAGGGGAAGGGACAGAAGCAGGGAGAGGGGCAGAGACAGAAGCAGGGAAAGGGGCAAAGACAGGAGCAGGGAGAGGGGCAGGGATAGGAGCAGGGAGAGAGGAAGGGACAGAAGCAGGGAGAGGGGAAGGGAGAGAAGTAGGGAGAGGAGAAGAGAGACGAGTAGAGAGAAGGGCAGAGACAGAAGCAGGGAGAGAGGACGAGACAGGAGCAGAGACAGAAACAGGGACAGGAGTAGTAAGGACAGGAGCAAAGACAGGAGCAGGGAGAGGAACAGAGACAGGAGCAACGACAGAAAGGGAGGTGTGGATGAGACGAGGAGGGAGGAGTGGAGCCCAATCAGGGTTGAGGATGACAGAGGTGCTTATGAGGGGAGAAGGAGAAGCAGAGCTGGTGACGCTGACTCTGACCGGTGGCAGTTGGATCATGACAGGTGGCATGTGGGCAGCAGCGGCTCTCATGGGGCTTATCTGGACCAATCCCGCTACGACGCATCATCACGGCGACATGACGATTCAGCCAATGACCGATATGGAGGTGCGTGCGTTGCTGCTGCTGCCAATCCGCCTTCTGCTTTGCTCTCTGCTTTTGAGGCTGGCACTCCAAGGGGACGGGGGATCGTGGGAGTGGTTACGAGAGATTTGGTGGGGGATGGCACACGGGGGAGTGTTGGTGCTAGTGCTAGTTCGGCTGTGCTGTCATGGGCGGCTGGGATTGAGAGTGAGTGTGGCGATGATGGTGGCGGTGCTGTGCAGCTGGACACGTACCAAGGCTACGGTCAAGGACCAGCAGCAAGAGGAGCTACTATTGAAGCACCAACTTCAACCACCACTTATTCCGGAGCAGCAGCGAATGTCAACCAGACTCAAGGATATTCACAAGTACCATCTCAGTTTACATACGGTCATAGCCAGTCAATGACCTATCCTCCTCAGCCCCCACCGCCTACCCAGCCCACTGCAGTCGTCGCCCATGCTCCTTATCTCCCGCCATCACATCCACTCCTCCCTCCTGGAACAACCAACCATCCTCTTCCGCCACTCCCTCCTGACCCTCCCCCTCCCCTGCCTGACAGCTCTGCTTATCCCCCATTGCCCCCTGGACCTCCCCCTCCATTTTACCACTATCCTGCATCTTCTCCGCCTCCTCTCCCAGCAGCACCACCGCCTATCACTCCTCCCCCGCCTGCTTATCCCCCTCCTCCCTCGCCTGCATTTTTGTCCCCACCTGCGGGCGAGGCTGTGACTCCCCCACCTTATCTGCCTTCATATCAATGGTGACAACAATACTCGTGACATTTTCATGGATGATATGGATACATGTTTCTTCTACGCTTCTGTCTGATTTTGCACTGCTTGTACTTACCCATAGCCTTCTAACCTGGTATCTCTATCATGACAAATGACCATACTAATGTGACTGCTTGTTAACAGTAGCCCTTTTGCTGGAAACAGGAGACTTAAGACTGGCACGTGTCAGAATACGGTACTAGCGTGAGAATGATGCATTGAAAGGAACAATTGGGTACAAGTAGCTAACCCTAGTTGGGGTTGTACCCTATATTGGCTACCCCACTACAGCCTACCAACATATAACACATTACAACTTAACACACCCCCATAGGCAAAGTGGGGGAGAACAAAGGGTCACAAGACCAGTCCAGCAAAGCAAAACAAGCCCAGGGTGGATCACAACGTCACCACACTCCGAGCACAAGTAAAAGCCGCAAGGCCAGTTCACATGCAGTGCTAGATATAGAACAAGACAAGCAACAAGAAATATATAAAGTACAGTACAAAGAAAGTCAAGCAGTAAGCAAGTGAGGGAATGTGGACACAAGGCCTAAAGAAGTACAGTGCCGCTGATGATCACTAGGCGGGAGCGCCTTGGTGAAGATATCAGCAGTGTTGGCCTTCGAGTCCACGTACACAAGCCGAAGCTGACCGCGCTGCTGAAGCTCTCGAGCAAGAAAGTAGCGAAGAGCAATGTGCTTCGTCCTGTGCTCCAGTCTGTGCTCCTGACACAAGGCAAGGGCCGCCTTGTTGTCACCGTACAGAACTGGAGGAGAACTAGGCCGCTCTCCCAAGTCAGTCAGCAGGTAGGTGAGCCAGCGTAACTCCTGTGCAGCCATGGCCGTGGCGTAGATCTCAGCCTCACAACTAGAGCCGAGAACAGAAGAAGAGCGGGTGGACCGCCACGAGACAGAACCAGAGCCAAGGCTGAAGGTGTAACCCTGTGACGACCGCTGCGTAGCCAGGTCGTCCACCCAAGAAGCGTCCGAGTGACCAGTGAGGACAACTCTGTCGCGTCCTCCAAGCACCAGCCCCATGCCTGATGTACTGCACAAGTAACGCAGCACCCTCTTAGCAGCCTCCCAGTGCTCTCGCCTGTGTCTCCCAGGCGCAACGTAACGAGCAAGGATGCTAAGAGGGTACGCGAGGTCAGGTCGCGTGCAAGTCATCAGGTACATGAGGCAGCCTACAAGCTCTGGGTACGGGCCACTCGGCTCTACAGACTCGTCCGAAGGTGGAGCTGAGAGCGAGTGGCTGGTAGCCAGAGGTGTGGCCTGTGGTGAGGAGAACTGGAAGCCGAAGCGCTGAAGGACCTGCTGCACCATGTGTGACTGAGTCAGGGTAATGGTGCGGCGTGCTCTGTCCCGGGTGATCTGCAAGCCAAGGTAGCTACGCAGCTCTCCCAGGTCAGTGCAGGTGTGTCTCTTCTGCAGCTCCGACTTCACACGAGCGAGTGCCTCAGTGTCAGCAGTAGCAAAGACCAAGTCGTCGACGTACACGAGGATGTAGAACGGCGGCAGCGACGTGTCTGTGCGCAGGAACAGTGACGGGTCAGCAGTGGAAGGAGCAAACCCAAGGGCCGCAAGTGTAGTCCTCAGTGTGTCGTGCCACTCGCGTGGCGCCTGGCGGAGACCGTAGACTGGCCGCCGGAGGCTCCACTGGGTACCAGGAGGGAACGACCCAGTGAAGCCAGGTGGGCGGCGCAGCCAGATCTCCTCGTGCAGACTGCCCTGTAAGAAAGCTGTGCTGAAGTCCAGAGAGTGAAGCTCGTAGTCACGCTGAGCGGCAACGTGCAGCAGCACCCGAAGAGTGGTCATCTTCGGGGTGGGGGAGAAGGTCTGGAAGAAGTCAACTCCCTGTCGCTGACTGAAGCCTCTAGCAACGTAACGAGCCTTGAAGACAGGTGGAGAACCTGGCGGCCGCTTCACCCTGAAAATCCACATGCCATCGACGATGTTCGCCCCAGGAGGGGGAACCTCGTCGACGTAAGTGCCTGTGGATTTCCAGGATGCCATCTCTGCGTCCATGGCTGTCTGCCACTGAGAGGAGTAGGGACCCGAGATCGCCTCTGCGTAAGAGCGCGGAGTGGGGATGTCTAGTGCATCCGGGTCTCCCTCAGGGGCAAGCAACGAGGCCACGAGATGAGGTACAGCAGCCGCAAGAGAGTCAAAGTCCTCCTGCCTGTCCTCAAGGACGTCCGTGCCAAGAGCACACTCACCCCCGACGGACGGAGGACAGACAGACTCAGACTCAGCAACAAGACTGGCGGCGTAGTCTAGGCGACAGGCAGCAGCAAAGTCGACAAGCTCAGCGACCAGGGCAGACGCAGCAGCAGACTCAAACGACGGGTCAGTGACAAAAGTGGCGAGAAGACGCGTAACAGTAGGGTGGGCAGCACGAACACTGTCAGACTCAGGGTCGGGAACGTCAGGAAGAGAAGACGCAGGAGGAGACGGTAGGGGGACACGCTGTGGACCAGTGGAAGGACGAAGGGCCATAATGTGCGTGCCAGGAACAGGAGGAGGACGCGGACGCGCGACACGACGACCAGTGGGACCAGTGCGCGCAGTGCGAGCAGCGCGAACAGGCGAGGCAGGACGAGACGCAGGCTCGCGACGCTCCGTAAGCGAGTCCGGCTGCGCAGTGTAAGGCACAGGAGCAGGGAGGGGGGAGCCAGGCTGGAGGGGAAGGCCAGTGGAAGACGGGAGGGAAAGAACCTGGCGAAGTACCGTGTCAGGCGGTGGCAAAGCCGACGGCGACGGCGGAGCGAAGAACAGTCGCGACGGCGGAGCTCCGCCAGTACCTCCAGCACCTGCAGCCCAGAAGCACCAACAACAGTGCCCCCCGCCGCAGCACCACCAGAGCCGGCGACGTCAGCACCAGAGGCCCCAGCAGCGGCAGACCTCCCCTCGCCAGCACCTCCAGAACCAGCAGGACCAACGCCTCCAAGACCGTCAGCTCCAGTGTCGTCAGCTCCAGCAGCTCCAGCACCTCCAGGAAGAGCACCCCCAGAGCCGGCAGCTCCAACTCCGCTAGCACCACCAGCTCCAGAGTCCCCAGCTCCAGCAGCTCCAGCCTCAGTGCTCCCAGAACAACCAGCCCCGGCAGCTCCAGTACCTCCAGTACGAGCACCTCCAGGACGAGCAGCTCCAGAACCTCCAACTCCAGCAGGGCCACGAGGACGGCGAAAGCGCCGGACGTACCAGTCACGAAGCTGCTGCTGAGTGAGAGGCGGCTCAGCACCCCGAACCGTAGCACCCCCAGACGCAGCAACCCCAGGCTCCGTAGGCTCAGCCGCAGTACCCCCAGGCTCAGTACCCTCAGGCGCAGCACCCCCAGGCTCAGCACCCCCAGACTCCGCACCCCCAGGCTCAGTACCCCCAGGCTCAGCACTCCCAGTCTCAGCACCCCCAGGCTCAGCACCCCCAGGCTCCGTACCCCCAGGCTCAGCACCCCCAGACGCAGTACCCCCAGGCTCAGCACCCCCAGGCTCCGTACGCTCAGGCACCGTACCCTCAGCTCCAGCACCCTCAGTCCCAGCACCCGCAGCCCCAGCACCCCCAGGCCCAGCACCCCCAGGCTCAGCACCCCCAGCAGCACCACCCGCACCAGCACCTGAGTCACCTGTGACCTCGACAGGCTCAGCAACGGGAGGAGGGTCTACCTGAGAGACACCTGAAGGAGCAGGACCCTGAGGGGGAAGGGGGTCTACCGGAGGGGGACCAGGAGCAAGGAAAAGCGGCGGGGGAGGGAGGGGGGCAGTGCGGTAGGGGAAGAGACGGTAAAAAGGGACCGACTCGTCAAAGGTGACGTCCTGAGAGGCGAAGACCCGGCGCGAGGTGGGGTGGTAAAACTGCCAGCCAGGCGCGTCAGGGACAAAGCCAAGGAAGACACAGGGAAGCGTGCGGGAGGAGAGCTTGTCCGCGGACGTATCGCGGACAAGGGCACGAGCACCCCACACCCGGAAGCGCGACGCATCGCCAACCTCCCCCGTCCAATGCAGTGTGGGCGAGGTCTCCGGCAAGGAGACACGGGGCCAGAGATTGAGCTGATGCGCAGCGTACCGGACAGCAAACGGCCACAGAAAATGGGGAGCTGCCGCATGGATCAAGGAGGTACGAGCGACCTCCATGACCAGGCCAATGCGGCGCTCAGCAACCCCATTCTGCTGTGGGGAGTCCGGAAGCGTGAAGGTCTGCTCGATGCCCTCCGCCTGACAGAAGGTCCTCAAGAGGTCGGAGGAAAACTCACCACCCCTGTCAGAGTGCAGACGCAGGACAGGAAGATCTGTCCGGAAACGGCGGCGGAGCTGGAGACGAACTGTGCGGATCCAAGGGATCAGAACAGCAGGGACCTCACCCTTGGTGCGCAAGGGGAAGACCGTGGTGTAGCACGAGTAGTCCTCGACAACCAGCAAAAAGTACCGCTCACCGCCCTGGCCACGAACGCGGGCTGGGCCCCACACGTCCAGGTGGAGGGTCTGCAGAGGAGCCTCTGTCGGGGGGAACGAGGAGGAGTGAGGAGCGGCGCGCTGGCGCCCCTCGACGCAAGGAAGGCAAGGCGGTGCAGGCGAGGCAGGGAGGGGAGGGAGGGACCTGGGAAGACCAGACACAAGGTGGCGACGGTGCATGCCACGGAGGCGTGGCAAGGAGGGGTGACCCAGGCGGTGGTGCCAGAGAAGAGTCTGGTGCGACAGGGAACGACACTCACAGGCGTGGGCTACCAGACCTGACGCGGACACCTGACCGACAGCAGCGACCTGAGGAGACGCAGTGGTCAGTGTGTAGAGACTCGACCCCGGCTGACGGGTAAACGTAGCCAGGTGACGGCCGGTCCTGGAGCACGTGAGGATCGCCACACGCTGTCCTCCAGGGGTAAAGGTGTCAACCCACTGATCCTGGATGACAGCGTTGCTCACCAGGTTCGTCGAGAACGAGGGGAGGTGGAAACCCGACAACGAGCCAGACGGAACCGCCGGACACGGGAGCACAGTGGTGGACCGTGCCAGGACTGGGCCCCCCGAGGGGTCAGCCAAGGAGACTGGGACCGGTGCAGGAAGCGGTGTGAGCTCAGTACTGTCACGAAAGAAACAGCGGGAAGCACCTGAGTCAAGGGTGAAAGTGTGACAGGCCTCAGCCGGTGCAGTACCTGAGAGAGCAGTCTCTGTGGGTGCTGTACCTGAGAGAGCAGACTCACAAGCAGCAGGGACAGTACTGGAGGGAGCAGCCACAGAGGGGACCGTACCAGAGAGAGCAGACTCACTAGTACCTAGGGCAGCGGGCTCTATACCTGGGTCAGGTGGCACACACAAGTAACAGTCTCCCTCGGCACTAACAGTCAATGCATACATGGCAGCAATAATAGCATCATAGTCAAGAGCAAAGATATCAACACCAGCCCTCATCAGCTCCGCCCAGCGGGGGCGCTCAACATCCTCGCCGATCTCCTCACGCAGGCGGGAGAAGCAGCGGTACGGGGTGTGGAACCTCCCACACGTCTGTCCCTTGCGGTCACCTGTGCGAATGGCATTGGAACAGCGGCCACTGCCCCCCGACGTCCCACGCTGAGCAAGCCACTCACGAAGCTGCTGGGTCGTCTGGGGACGCTGCTGCTGGTGGGAGCTCTGGGCCGAGCCAGTGCCTCCACTCCGACCTCCGCCGCCACCACTACCTCCGCTCCGACCGCCACCGCCGCCACCGCCACCGCCGCCGCCGCCGCCACCGCCGCCACCGCCGCCGCCGCCACCACCGCCACCGCTCCCTCCGCCGCCCCCGCCTCCGCTGCCGACCCCACTCCCACCAGCACTCCCGCCACCGCTCCCTCCAGCACCGCCTCCCCCCCCACCTCCCCCACCTCCTCCCCCCCCAGCGCCACCCCCGCCACCCTTGCCCCCCTTGCCCTTGCCGGTGCGGCGCCTCCCACCAGGAGCAGAAGCAGCGCCAGCAGACTCAGCACCAAGGAAGTCAACAGCAGCAGCAGTAGCGTAGGAGGGAGCGAGGGGAGAGGGAGAACACCCCTCAAAGATGGGGGTGCGAGGAGCGCCACGAGCAGCACCTACAGCGACAATGCTCTTCTCGGCTGCTAGCAGTTTCTCCTCTAGGAGGGCGACAGTGAGCTCAGTGGGACAGCGAGCAAGGAAATAGTCGCGCACTGAGCTAAGGGTGTCAGGGAGACGGGTGACTATGAAGTGGAGTGTCCAGTACAGTGGAGGGGGGTTCTTAGCGCAGAACTCGGTGGGAAGGGCGGCACGCAGGCGAGCGTCACTAGTGCGAAGGTGGGTGATAAGATCGGCGACTGTAGCAAAGGTGGACAGCTCAGGGAACAGGTAAGGCAGCATAAGGCGGCTAAGCTCGGCTGTGGCAGGTGAGGAATAGCGGGCAACGACAGCGTCGTACAGGGCCTTAGCGGTTTTGCAGTCGCCAAAATGCTCGAGCTCAGCTAACGGCAGGTGACTGCGAATGGCTAGGCGAGCAGCTGCGTCACGAGTCTGCCAGTGGGAACGAACACTAAGCTCTGCTGTGGCAGGAGGGGCAGGCGCAGCACCAGACGCGTAATCATAGAGCGACACATGCTCCTTGCTATCGCTCAGGAGGAACAGCTGCAGGTCATCTAGCCAAGTGGTGAACTGCACAGGGCGGCCCTCAGCATCGAACGAAAGCACGCGGATGGAAGCCATAGCGACAGTACGGCAGAGCAACGCAAGCTACCACAGCAGGGGCGGGCAATTGCGCACGGGCAGGGAGCAGCAGGCGGCGCTGCAAGCGGGCAGCGCGGCGGACGGGCGGCTCTGCAAGTGGGCAGCGCGGCAGGCAGGCGGCGCTGCAGGCGGGCAGCGCGACAGGCGGGCGACTCCGCAAGCGGGCAGCGCGGCGGGCGGGCGGGCAGCGCGACGGACGGCGCGGGGCACAGCGGGCGGCGCGCGGGGCTGCAAGGCAGCTCGACGGGCTGCGCGGGGCAGAGCGGGCGGCGCGCGGGGCTGCAGAGCCGAGCGACGAGCAGCGCGGGGCAGGGCGGGCGGGTCGCGGGGCTGCGCAGCAGATCGACGGGCGGCTCGGGGCACAGCGGGCGGTGCGCGGGGCTGCGAGGCAGCGCGACGGGCAGCGCGGGGCAGAGCGGGCGGCGCGACGGGCAAAGCAGGGGAGGCGCGCGGGGCTCTGGGCTGGCAGGACGCCGGTCGGCAGGGCGCACGAGGGCGCTACAAGGGCGCTACGAGGGCGCTAGGGCGCAACGAGGGCGCTACGAGGGTAGGGCGCGGGGGTAACGCGGTAACCGCAGCGTGCGGTGGTGGGCCCTAAAAAAAAAACGATCGGATGGTCCTAGGGACCACCTGCTCTGATACCATGTCAGAATACTAGCGTGAGAATGATGCATTGAAAGGAACAATTGGGTACAAGTAGCTAACCCTAGTTGGGGTTGTACCCTATATTGGCTACCCCACTACAGCCTACCAACATATAACACATTACAACTTAACAGCACGAAAATGATTGGCTTTTTTGCGTAGTATGCCCAACTCTAATGTTCTTCAATAGTGCGTACACATATCCCATAGCTGCTTGACATAAGACAGTCCCGTGAAGAATAGCCCCATTCTGACCACTCTATTTGATCTACCCCCGTCTTCGCACCCGTCAGTCAGCTGCATTTGGTGATTAATACAAGGCCGTGGTGTTGGATGGTTAACTTTCCGCGAATCAAAGGGCCATATCAGTAGCATTGCCAAGGTGCTGCCAAAGGCTGTATGTATCAAAGTGATCCAGTGTTTCCTGGCTGAGGATTTCAGCATGCTGGCTTGATCCATGCCAATGAAGAAGATGCACCCGTCTTTTGATGGATCAGCGGTGACAATTTGAGCAGAACCCCCAAAGTCACAGGATGCCTGACTTTGGTTTTGAAGCTGGAAGTAGGAATTGAAAGCATATGAGGCAACATCCTCCAGTTTGTTGTTGAAGTAGCATGAACTTCCTGGCACGATTGGCGTGCAATCCACACTTTTATCACCCCCACAGACATATGTCAAAGCAGCCGCAACATTTGCAGGGTTGGCTCCTTGCTTCACCACACACCACTGACGTGGAAAGAATGCCACGTCTTTTGCTGGAACAAGCTGAGCATTCGGATTGCCTTTCCCTGTGAGGTCTAAGTTGTATTTTAGGGTTCCATCCGCACGGAAGATGCCCCAATGGCGCTCAAAGGTTCCAGGAAGTGTGCTTTTCATGTCTTCGTCCAGTAGCCCAAATATGAACCCTCCAATTTGCTTGGCAGGGCGCAAAGGCGTGCCTGATCCGCTTAGCATGTGCTGGATGATGGCATTGTTAAACTCTTGTGCATAGTCATTGTTGGCGTACGGGTTGAGTGAACCTTGCCCATCAGAAGGCCAGCCAATTTCACCAATAATGATTTGTAGCTGTGAGCAAACAGGCGGGGCGGTCAGCATGCCACGAGGTATACCAGAGAAAAAAGACTTGATCACTTACATCTGGAAAGCCGATCCTTGATAATGCTGTCAAGATGGCATCGTAAGTGCTGTCAAACACATTCGTGTAGACCAAGCCAGTCCCTGGGTCTGTGAAGTTCCGCTCATTTGGTCTATCCAGGAAAATATCGCCCATTGTGAAGACTCCTGGTTGCTGATATAAATTAAGGAACGGGTAGATATTTACTGAAAACGGGGCTCCGGTTTCACTGAATAGTGAGACAATTCTTCGCATCTGGTTGGCGATGTCTGGCCGGAAGGATGCTTTAGACGGAGGATATGACGTTCCCATGACGTCAGCATTAAACGCGACAGTAACTTTAATCTTCTGGTCCAATCCAGCAGCCTTTAAAGAGTCATAGATGTTCTGAACGGCTGGCGCCAAAACGAGGTTGTACTCTCCATTGTCCCATGTCAGAAACGGCTCATTTCCAACAGAGACGTATCTGAGACAAAAAGCGGTTCATGCTTAGCCGCAGATGCAGGGCTCAGCATGCATCTTGGCTTCTTGATGGTAGTCGTACCTTATATCGACGCCTCCTGGGAACGCGTATCTCTTGACGTTATAGTCAACCCAGTCCTGAGCCTTCTTGGGACTCATGGCCATGTCGTTCAGAAGTTCATTGGCTACCATCACGGTCACCTAATCAGAAAGAAATCAGGGACACTGCCGCCGAGCAGAAGAATGTTGCAAAACGCAGTGCAGAAGGAACCTACCTCCAACTTGGACCCAACGAGGGCCTTCATGACTTGCGGGTCAGCATTGAAAAGCTTCACTTTTGATATTTTGTTGTCCTGTAGAGAAGCTATAAGAATTGGACGCACATCCTAAGTACGGATGTTTAGAAAACGAAATAGTAAACCTACCTGAAGAAGCTTCACAACAATTCGCGGTGGTAATGGCTGCCACGCTACTCTCCCCCAACAGACTCCGATGGAAGATGCATCAAAGGACTCAGCAGACGCGAAAACAAGGAAAAATAGTTGAATCGCGAAAGACGCCAAGAATCCACGACCCACATTGTGTAGCCTGAGCCTCATTCTCGATTCCCGGTGAGCCTTTAACGTCTGCTAAGATAAGATTCTAGAGCATACCCGTAAGTAAATAATACTCAAAATCTTGCTACAACGAGCATGGCATGGCGACGCACCTACCAAGCGTGTCTCCCGGTTCATTTCTCCATTTTCTGATAGGTGCCTGGTGGCTGACACACTAGTCCTGTCCTCCCGTTCCGCAATCGCGCTCGGAACGACACAATCATCGAAACGTACGCTGTACTAGCCACACTCAATCCATCTGTTGTACGTGATAGTCGTGTTTGCTGAATATATGTATACTAACCCCCTGAACCCAGGCAGAAAATAATGTGCTCATGCAAACGATTCCACCCAGTCGCATTAATCCAAGCTGAGATATCTTTAAGCCTTGCAAAATAAGGGCGAAAAATACCCCCTAAGTGTATCCCCTTGTAATGCGCTAGAATTCGAGCACCGTGCCCTATTTCCTGAACTTTGAGATAACAAACGGGTAAAACTGACAACCACAGGTAGAGACGCTGTACACTGTACACCTAATGATGGAGCACCTTCGGAACTCCCATTTCAGCCGGAACCCTGAGAAACACAATGATAAGAACCAACACATGCACAAGTTAGCCCATAACCATCATACACAAAATTTAAGGGGCAGGTCAGATAAAAGACGAGAAACAAAACAGGGTGTCAAAAGAAGATTGCGGGCTGTGAATTCTGGGACCAGTACAGATGCAGCTGTGAATTCTGGAATCATCTCAATGTTATGTTAAATGAGGGGAGCGACGTGGATGTAAAGAGGTGAACAATGATGGGTGGTTAGTCTGTTTGGTTGAAGGCATGCGTGATTACTCATGGTCGCTGGGGTTGGCCTGTGCTTCGTACACAACTGCAGCCACCGCTCTCCGATTGTTCTGAGCACGCACCAGGGGGAGAAAGGGAAGGAGGTAGGAGGGAAGGGAAGGGTTGGGATGCATTTGCATGGAGGCCAACAGTGTGTGGAAATGATGAGAGAGAAACGTGACAACACAGGTAGGCAACACAGACGAATCCTGTCCTCCTCAACCCACCAGTCCCTGTCTGACAAACACGAATCCTTTTTAGCCATACTCCTCCTACTCCTCCTTTTCCTGAGTGGCTGTTCCTTAGAGTTCATCCAGCATTTGTTTGTTAGGCACCTCAATCAACTTTCTCCTTATCTCCCCCTTCACCCATACCTGAGTGGCCTCTCCTTTGAGTCCCACAAAGTTGATCCGAGAGAAATCACCCCCAAAGTTTGAAGGAAAGTGGAGGGTCAGAGAGGACACGCCCTGGAACTTGGAGAATCTGAAAAGACGGGACGGAGGGACAGAAGGGACGGGATTCAAGGTCGACCGGGAGTGAATGAGTGAGCAGCAACTCGAGTGGAGGATGAGAGGAGATGGGATGAGATGCGGATAAATGCAGAGAAGGGACACACGCTGGAACTTAACGGGCAAATGGAATCAAGGGAAAGCGGACTTAAACAAAATTCAGGTCAATGAGATGTAACAAATTTGATTTTGACATATCCTCACTTGAAATGGTAACATTACTTCGATGTAGTCAGTGGTCACACCAATGCGTGATGGATATTCAAACCAATCCAAAGTATTAGTAATGCATACACCACGAGTGGTCATATTTCTTAATTTGCTCAAGCTAGTAATGTCAGAACAAGAATTAACTACTGACAATTACAGTAGAAATAACAGGCCTTACTTGGTGGTGTACTCGAGCTCGCCTTGGAGATTCTCTGTCAAATCCCATTCCTGATATAATCACACATGCCCAAACAATTAGACACATGAAAAAATGAAAGATCCATCAATGCTTCAGATTCCGTGTGCATAGCAACGAGTGAAAGGTGTGGAAAACATTGCATATGTCGTGTGATAGTATGTGGTCACCAGATATCAATCATCATGCATGTGGCCGACAGGTGTTACCTTTTGGACAATCGAATGTTACCTGCACTGCAGTCAAATCAGAAACCACAGAGAAATCTATGTCCTCACGATTCGTGAAGCTGCTTGGAAAGAGACGAACGGAGAGAGGGGGAGGGGTGAGGTGAGAAAGGAAAGTAAGAAACGGTGACTAGAATGGATTTGGGTTTTGCTAACTCAGAATTGGACTCACGCTGCAAGTATAGGAAGATGCACTAGAAACGGTACACTTACGCTCGCATCTTGGCAGGGCTGGTCCCATCTGCTCCCCCAATAATGGCGATGCTCTTGATCTTCACATCGGTTGTAAATCTGCGCACATTCATACAGAACAGTGGTGAGAAACTTCCTGAGATTGTCTTTCACTAGCCCTTCAAAATAGCAAAGCTCTTGATCTTCACATCTGTTGTGAATCTGCACAAGTATACATTACAGCAGAGAGGAATGTCTCGCTAATTTCGCAGTACGAAACATTCCTTGTCGAGGAACATGTCAAAGTGAGGAAATTAGGGACTGATGATAGAAATACAACATTCGAGACAGATGTAAGGCTCTTGAACCATGTATCCTCTCAGTGGTTTAAAAATGTCTCTATACGTCGAATTGATAAAAGAGAGGTGGCTCGAGTAATTCATTCTCCCAGACTGCACAAATCACGAACTAAATTATGACAGCAATTCATAAAAAGGTTAACTTACAGAGCCAAGAAAGCGAGATCCTCAAAATCATCCATGTCGAACCCACGACTCGAGAAGGTAAACATTTAAGCAATGAGAGCAATCTTGAACCAGCCATTGTCAGGGTGACTCACGGGATAAAGAGTATGAGCTCTGCATCATCCTCGTTACTGTCCAGTGGTTGCTGGGTTCATGCGAGGGGGTGGTAAGAAAATAAGACAAGAGTGGGAGGGGCGGGAAGGGAGAGACAGGATGAAAACGGAAGGGAAACTGACGGAAGTACAAGGAAAGTCGAAAGTACATACAAGAATAGTCTAGTCCAATGCATTTGAATGAAGTTAAAGTAGAGCTGATGATAAATCACATAGATCTCGAAAAGAAACTGGAGAACCATCACGTGGAAATGATGCCCGGCTGTTCAAAATGATTGGGCGTAAGTTCCAAAAACTTTCAAGAACAGCTTACACTTGGAAAGGTCATGCGATCTTCCCAGCTGCGAAACACGCCCTCTGCACTCCCCTCCACTGCCTCATTCAAAGCTCGCACCTGAGGCGAGGTCGTGTTGGGAGAGTGGAGGGAGGAGGAGAGGAAAGAGGTTGGAAGCCGGAGATAAAACAGTTTGGGCAACCTTATCTCGGAACACGCCTTTGGCTCTCCCCTCTGCTACCGGGTTCAGTGCTCGCGTCTAGAGAGCGTGGGGGGGGGGGAGAGGAAGAAGAAAGGGGATGAGTGAGAGAAACGCCATCATATTTTCCAGGTGGGTAAATGTCTTTGGCGCTTTTTTCCGCTGATTCTGGCGTTCGACAAAATAAGAGAGGGATGGATGGAGGGAGGGCAGGGAAAGGTGGATGGAGGAAGGTAAAAAGGAAGAAGAGGGGGGAATTAAGGACAAAGAGAAAGTAAAACCTTTGTTTGAAGAGCGAGGCGGCGAACGGGGCGAGGAGACGGTACGTGAGAGCAGGACCGAAGGAAGGGAGGTGAGAGGCAGGGCGAGAAAAGGGAGATTCGAGCAGGGTCCGCCGAAGGGAGATAAGAGTAGCGTCCTTGGAAGGGAGATGAGAGTAGGGTCCGCGGAAGGGCGATGAGAGTAGGGTCAGCGGAAAGGAGATGAAATTAGGGTCAGCGGAAGGGAGGGGAGAGCAGGGTCAGCGGAAAGGAGATGAAATTAGGGTCAGCGGAAGGGAGGGGAGAGCAGCGCCTAGAAAGGCGGGAAATATCACCTTGGGAAGGTCGACGTTTTTATATAGGGAGAAGCCAGCCCCGCAGTCATGATCGCTACAGTCATGGTCATGCAAGCATGTGCCAGGTTGCGACATGGTGAGCGTAGACGCCTGACGCAGAGTCCAATCTCGTGGCCTAGCCTCGGTTACCCTGTTTCAAGAAGCTGCTATTGAACCAGCGAAACAGCTACGAAGGATGGCGGAAAGGTAAAAGACGCAGACACGAGCCTCTCGTGAAGGGGAAAGAGCTAAAAATATGACGATTTGCACAGCCGCCAGCACATGGAGCAGAATTCTTGGTGTAGCATGGCTGGTAAGGGGGCGCGAACAGTGTTTTGAAAATGGAACAAACGTGAGGTTCGCTGTTTAGGGCGTGTAACTTTTTCCGATTCAGTCAAATGTCCGGACGGAGGCCCCAAACCGTCCGAACGGTGCTCCGTCCGGACAATCGGGGATGTGGTTCGGACGATGAAGCGTCCGTACACCTATTATGACACTTTTTTGCAGTTGCGAAATTGATTTTTGAGCGAGAGTGTAACGCGCATAACCTACCTCGTCAGCACATCGCTTAGTTCGCAGGCATGCATTTGCGACTCGGTAAAGTTCAGAGGGTTCGGAAACATGCCAGACTGTATCGAGTTCGTTTTTTTGTAGGGCTGTGAGTCTGTGTGCCCGTTCGGACGATTGTGGAACTTCTGCGTTGCCTTTCCATACCAATGTGGTTCTGGCGAGCTAAACCGAGTCGCCAAAACTGATGAAAATTGTGCCTCGCGCACCAATGACGTTGCAGGAGTTCCGGACGGTCCGAAATGCTGTCCGGACGACGTCAGGGGCATAGCACGGACGATGGACAAGCAGAAAAGTGTCAGAACTCGTACGGACGATCGCGACGTTGAGAGGGGTCTTGCGAAGCTACTAACGAGCTCAAACGAAACTGTAACCCTACAATAGTCCGGACGGTTCCTCCGTCCGGACGATGAAAAGTGAAAAAAGTTACACGCCACCAGCTTATCACACGTCACAAGGTTTAGCGACAAAGTGACAACTCGCTGCAACGAAAAATCACCGTTCCGAACCTTCTCGTGTACGCGCTCTCGATTCTCAATTTTGTGGAGCATGACAGATCCATCCATTCAAAAAGTGATTCCCTGTCTTGTCACAACCTTCCTAATTTGTGAGCAGCAACTCCCATCAGCAGCGACTCCCATCAGCAGCGATAATCCAGCTGGCCAAACGCTCAGAAATGGATTCCTTACAACAGCTGGTCAGTTACTCTTGCTTCTTCAATAAATTCCGAGCATCCAGTGACAATGCTGCTTTTGTTTGCGCAGTCATCTGATGTTGCTGCGATTGAGTCATTGGCGTCACGAGGAACCCTGGACGTTGACTCGTGGAACAAACTTGGTACGTCAATGCGATTTTAGTGCGTGTTCCAAGCTGGCGCAGCGATTTTAGTTGAACGAAACTGATCTCGGCATGCAGAGTTGCTCGCATCCAAGCTGGCGAAGCGTGCATCTTGCGGGAAAGACGCATTGATCATAACAGGCCTGTATTTGGGTAAGTCCGTTTGTTACATATGGAATGTCGACTTCATGTCGTGATATTCTGTATTCGTTCGAATGTGACATTTTCCTACTCCAGATCGATTATCGTTGATGCTGACTTGCGAAAGAGCCTCTGTTCGTAAGCACTACATCAGCATCGTCGGAAGCTGCCTAGAGCAAAGCCATCGAATCAGCAAAAGCGACTCGCTTGCATTAGTAAAGCTTTTGCAAGCTCTCCTCAACAACCGCTCTGCGATATGTCGACTACAGGCTATAACCTCTCTCGTCGCCGCTGCGAAGTTGGGAAATTATCACGGCACGGAACTAACAGAGGTTATTTCAGAAGCATTGGCATCTGCTCTGTGCGATAAGAGCAAGCTCGTTAGGCTGAAAGCTGTTAGCCTTTCAAAGCAGTTCTTGTCTTCTCATGCCCGGGGGGGTCATGTTGGAAAGTTGAAGCCGCTCATGGACGCTCTCTTCAGGCTGATATCAGTTCCGCCAGAGTCAGGTCTTACGTGCCTGGAGACTTGGGAAGGAGTTGGTGAAGTGCTCTGTCTCTTAACTTTTCCGCATCAGATGGTGTATGAGGAGCTGGCGAATCTCTTTCACGTTGGCCTTAGCCGACCATCACGGCCTGTGGCAAGCAAAGTCATTCAGTGCTATCTCCATGACTATGAACGCTGGGCGGAGTTTTCTGTGAAATGTTCCGAGACATCCTTGGCAACAGTGAAGGATTTTCTGAGGGATGAGGCTTCCCGCAATCAAGCCACCATAAAAACCTACAGGAAGATTGTGGACCAAGCGTTTTCTTGCATTTCACAATCGGAGAGTATCTCGAAGGGGTGTGCATCACCTTTCAGGATCATTTGGCTTTTCGCTCCAACCTGTACTGAACATAAAGGTTCCAGTACATATGATTCAGTCTTGGTCAAGCATCTTCAGCGAGCTGTTCAACTTTTCCTCAGGACTAGTCATGAAGAACAACACACTTCCAAGCCTATGGTGTCTTGGTGTTTAAAGGTATGGTGGGGCTCTTTTAGCGCGCTTGAAGGTGTGCATTCATTCCAATTACTTTGTTCCATTTGCAGGCCTTTGCAGCCGCTCGACAGTCTGGACACTGCACTGGGGTTGAGCTTCAGCAAATTCTTGTGAAAGATTTCAATCAACTGTCCGAGAGTTTTCTTGAGGAGACAATGGACTGTGTTTTCTCATTGCAAAACTCAGTCCAAATATCCCAAAGACTTCTTCAAACATTCATGGAGTATAATGGTCTGTGGAAACAAGAGCAGAACATGAAAGTCTCAGTTACGTTCCTCAACCTTATTGGCCACCTCTCTCAACGGTACAAGGTTGCTTCTGATATCTTCATAAAGCGCCTGCGCACAACCAGAGTTGAATCCAAAAATGCAGAATTTGATTATCTGCAGCATGAAGATCTGAAGGTGCAAGAAGAAGGTACTTGAAATACATTCTGCCTGTTTTTCTTGTTTCAGTGTAACTATTCATGTTATTCAATTTTATGTGCAGATGCGGCTCAGCGTTTCTCGCAATTGCTTTTGGATGGGAATTTCATGCCAGGGTGCTATATTCCCATGCTCATCTCGCTTGCCTCCAGAGGTGATATTCTGCTTCCTGTGCGATTGGCAGCATTGAGAAGCTTGAGTAGCTTTCTATTGCTGTCTGTTGACCTTGCAAAGCGGCATCGCACTCTTGTTACACGACTCTTGGAGGATGAAGAGAAACCGGTGAAGGTCGCTGCACTTGCCACTGTGGCTAAACTAATTCTCACTTCTCCGAATGAGTTCCCAGATTTCTTGGATGGGGTGAGTAGCCTGATGGATTCTGACACCAGTGATGCACAACTGGAGGCGTATGCTGTCTATGCGCATCTGCTTCTTTCTAAGAAAATGAAGGCGCAAGGATTTATGAAGCGGCTGGCTGTGGGGCTGCTGCACAAGGATAATCGCATCAAGGGCTTGATGAAGGAGCTGGTTACGCAGCTGATGGATGGAAACGCAAAGAGCCGCTGTGTTTTGGTGTTGAGTATGTTCAAGCAGTGCCCAAAGGACCAAAAGGACAGCCTCGCAAGGACTCTTGTGAATGAGGTACTAGCTCCTTGCGACCTTGAAACTGAAGAGCTTGGAAGCTCTGTGTTGCAGCTCCTGAGGCTGGGACAGAATGAGGCAGTACAGTTTCTCCCAAAGCTGCATCCATCCAAAAATCTGGTCTCTAAGATTGACTCCTGGACTCAGCTTGACTCGGCCAAGGTTGGTGCTATGAAAAGCAAGAAGACATCACAAAGCCTGCTGGAGTTTGTAAACCGCTACCGACCAGCTTCAGCCGTAGAAAAGGATACTCAGGCAAGGGTTATTTACCAGCTTGAAAAGATTTGTGGAAGTCATGAGTCACGTGCTCAGCTTTCCTACCAAGCCCAAGAGGTCTTCTGCATTGAAGACTATGAAAGAGAAGTCTCCATGTTCAAAGACGTGAGGTTGGATGGATCCCTAGCTGATCTTTTGTGACATTTTGTTACCGTATGTGACTTCATGCACAAGAGTTGTGTGTCACTTCCTATCAACTTCTTGAATGAAAAGCATATCACGTATGGTTATAAGGAACTCGCAAAACATCCAGGAGTGGTCTTGCAACTTTGACATGCCTCTCTAAAACAATTGCTCTGCCTGTCACAAAGTTGTCTTGGTCAACAGGACTCACAGTCCAGCTCTGCCAAGAACGCCTCCTAATCCACTTAGCAGATCATCCAGCATGTTTGAGGCCAAATTCTGATCTATCTCCCCACCCAGCTTCCTCCCTGTCCTCCCCAAGATCTGCAATGAACAGTGGGTCTCTGCTTGCGTCCGGAACACCACCCCTGCGAACTGTCTCCTCAAAGTCCCTTGATGCAATTGCAATGGCTTCTTTCACTCCTGCTAATGCTGCCTCTGCTGCTGCCTGTGCGGCTGCCTCTGCTGCTGCTGCTGTTGCTGATGCTGCTGCTGCCGCCTCAACATCAGGCAACACAACAGGTCCTTTGGCAGTGGCAAAAATGTTCTCATCTGAGGCTTTCCCATTAAGCCCTCCGTTTGCTGGCGAACCCGATGTCTTTGCTTTTTCCTCAGTTGAGGAATTATTCTTCAGAGCACCAGAACCTGTTTCCTCACTCCCTTCCCCACTCTTACTTTCACTCCCTCCATCTCTCCTGCTCTCACTCCCTTCATCACCCTCACCCTTACTTTCCTTGGCCTCGGTGTTGCCACCTTTAGGCTCGGAACGGACTTGCAGCTTCGGTACTGTCACCCCCAAGATTGCTAGCTTCGGCTGGGACATTGGCAGGCGTTCAGGCCGAGCCAAAGCACCAGCGTTGGCAGCAGCTGCAGCAGCAATTTCTGTGACCGCAGCAGCAGCGGCGGCAGCCGCAGCAGCTCTTTCCTCAGCATCTCTCATTTCTAATTCAAATATCGCTGTGTCATCTGACTCAGAAGCACCCACTTTAGAAGACTCTGCCATTCCACCTTCTGTTGCTGCTGGCTCTTTTGGCAACACATCCCCTGCAGGAGATTCACTTTGAGTAGCTGCCAATGATGCAACGCCTACATGTGCTGCACTCAGTTTCGCTTGTGACTCGTCAGTCACTGTTGCACCAGCTGCAGCTGAAGCAACCCCAGCTGCAAGACCAGGCTCTGTTGCCGAAGCAACCCCAGCTGCAACACCAGCTCCCGTCTCTGCAGAAGCTTTTCCTTCAACAGCCTCTGCAGATTCATTTAAAGCAGATTCGTCAGAAGCAACTTCGTTTGAAGACGTACCCTCTTGACGAGCCAGCCTAGCCACCGCTTCCTTGGCAGAATCCACCAATCCAGCCATGCCACGTGTCCCTTCAGCCACAGCAGCAGCCAGCTTTCCCCGTATCGCACTCACCACCTGCCTTATGCTCTCCTGTGCCGGATCCTCATCAATTGACTTATCAGTCGAATCCAAACCTCTCTGCGCAAGATGCTTCTCCTCAGCTGCTATCTCGTTCGCCGCCTCCTGCTTTTTCTCGACCACTCCTTTAATCCCCTCTTTCCTACTCAGCTCTGCATTCCTGGAGGAACTAACTGTGACTGTGCTGTTGATGCTGCTGCCACTGCCATTAAAACCAGCACTGCTGGTTCCGGTTTTATCGATGCTGCTATCAACAGGGCTCATCCCTCCACTGCTATCCGCTCCCGTACCACTTCCAGTCAACGCCTTATCCTTCCCAAATATACCACTCAACCCCTCATCGCCCCCATCATTACTGCCTGTTGACTGTGTTTTCCCACTCTTGTCGTTTCCCACATTATCATCCACACTGTTAGCGCTCTTATCATCCCCATGCTTCACTCTAACACTCCCAATCTCCCCACCAACATCACTCCCAGACTTTCCACCAACATCACCCCCACTCCTGCTCCCAGCATTGTCCCCATCCCTGTTGAGAAAGGCCATAGCCTTACCCAACAGCTCAGCAGCCTCATCCTCCCCCATCCTCCGCTTTCCACTCCCTCTCCCACTCTTTCCCACACCACCACTACCTTCCGTTCCCCCAACACCACTCGCACTCTTGGGACCAATTCCCATTGCCTTATACAGCAGGTCAGCAGCACCATCCTCCCCCATCAATCGCAGAAGTCCGGCCAGTAGAGCACCTTCCAGAGCATGCCCTTCCTTGCTGCTCTCCTTGCTCCCACTCCCCCTCCCCTTCGCCTTTTCCCCCTTGCCTCCAGCAGCTGTGACTGTGCTGCGTGTGCCTGTAACCGTTGTTTCGGAAGCAGGAGAGGCTGGGGGGGATGCTGCTTTATCGAGGGCCGTGCTGCTGTGAGCAGATGTGACAGTATCGGCGGGTGTGGACGTGAGAGTACTGGGAGTTTTGGATGTGCGAGTATCAGTGGTTTTGGATGTGATAGTATCAGGGGCTGTAGGTGTGGCAGTATCACCAGGGAGTGTGGTGCTGGCAGCGCTGGGAGAGGCACTCATAGAGAGAGCAGCAGAAGCAGTTTCTGACAAGCCCTTCTCATCCTTCTCCTGTTGCTGCTGCTGCTGCTGCTGCTGCTGTGGCAGCTGCTGCTGCTGCAGTGGCTGCTGCCAGTTCTGCTGCACCTGCTCTTGTTGCACTGACAGCGCCTGCCCTGAATCCCCCTTCCTCTTGCTTGTTGCCTTTCCCGTTTCCTTGGCCTTCTCCTTTACTTTCCCCTTTAGAGGGACGGAGGAATGCTCTTGTGGCAGCAAATCGCATTTCTTGAGGAGGCTGGTGATGGCTGAGCTGACAAACGCCTTGATTTCCGCATCCACCACCGCCTCTGCCTCCGCCACCCTGTTGAATGCACAGAGAGAGAAAAGGGACAGGAGTGCGGGCTTATGGTGATGGCAGAGCTGACAAACGCCTTGATCTCCGCATCCACCACTGCCTCTGCCTCCTCCACCCTGCCAATGACGGGACAAGGGCAGGGGGACGATAAGTGGAGGGGAAGAAGAGGTCTTGATGTGAGGAAGAGGCTGGTGATGGCGGAGCTGACAAACGCCTTGATTTTCGCATCCACCACCGCCTCTGCCTCCTCCACCCTGTTGCATGTAGAGAGAGAAGAGACGAGGGTATGGGTTTATGGGTTATTATCAGCACTGTGTAGGGGACAGAACTACCAAAGCTCGGCTGAAAACGTCTTGAATTCCGCATACACCACCACATCTGCCTCCCCCACCCTGCAAGAATGAAGAGACAAAGGCACATTCAACCACTGAGACGCATTAAAGCTCAAGGCCCAAATTGCGCAAGGTTAGTAATCTTGCGCAAGGGTTTGGGCTGGTCAAGAAAGTGTTGGGAGGGTGGGGTTGACTTATTTCGCACGAGCTCTCGCAACAATCGCTGAGTCAGCAAACACCAAGGCAAACATTCTGTTTGGGCCTGAGAGTCCCAAATTGTGTGATACTGAAAGTTGAAGTTTCTGCAGGGAGATTGGCCTCGACCAATCAGATTCATTCGCACCTACCGTAACCCAACATTCGCCAAACCACAGCACCAAAACAACAGCTGTGCAAGATTAGTAATATTGCTCAGGGCGGCCCGCAATTTGGGCCTTGAGCTTTAAAGCAGAGTCAAAATCACTGAGGCGCATTCAACCACAAAGGCAGATCCAAAACACAGTATAAAAACCACAAAAGCAAAGCTCTCTCATTCTGGCTGACGAACGCCTTGATTTTTGAGGCGCCTCAAAAGCCTTGATATTCGCATCCACCACCGCCTCTGCCTCCTCCACCCTGTTCCTGCATCACTGACTCCCCCCCAGCAGCACCCGATCCATGCACTCCTGCACCACCACCTCTGCTGCTCACATTTTTTCTTCCTTCAACAACAAGCCCACATGATTACCTCCATTCAAACGAGTCGACAATGACAGTGAAGGAGGGCTCCAGTCCAGCCACTTTCCTCCCCCACTGGCTGCCCAGCAGCACCCGATCCATGCACTCCTGCTCCACCAGCTCTACTACTGAGCCACCGCATCTCAACTCAAACCCCAGGCCTCAACTGCTCACCTCCGTTCAAACGAGTCCACAATAACTGTGAAAGGCGGCTCCAGCCCTGCGAGTTTCCTCCCCCACTGGCTGCCCAGCAGCACCCGATCCATGCACTCCTGCTCCACCAGCTATGCTGCTCACACAAGAGAGAAGCCCTTGACTCACCTCCTCTCGAACGAGTCGACAATGACTGTAAAAGAAGGCTCCAAACCAGCAATTTTCCTCCCCCACTGGCTGCTCAGCAGTACGCGATCCATGCACTCCTGCACCACCAGCTCTGCATCTCGCAGCAGCGGCAGGGTTGACCCGGGGGAGGAAGAACCGAGGGAGGCGGAGGGGAAGGCGCCGAGCATGGGGCCGAGCTCCTGAGCGAACTCTTGCATCTGCGAAGGGGGGAAAGAGAGGGGAGCATGTTTGTTTGCTGCAGCAGCGGCAGGGTTGACCCGGGGGAGGCCGCACATAGGGAGTCGGAGGGGAAGGCGCCCAGCATGGGACCCAGCTCTTGCGCGAATTCTTGCATCTGAGAGGGGGAGAAAGAGAGGAGATGGGAAGAGAAGGAGAGGGGAGCGTGTGTGTGAGCAGCAGCAGCAGGGTTGACCCCGGGGAGGAAGAACTGAGGGAGGCAGAGGGGAATGCGAAGAGCATGGGGCCAAGCTCTTGCGTGAATTCTTGCATCTGAGTGAAAGGGATACAGGGAGGGGAGGAGAGCAAGGGGGAGGTGGGAAGTCTGTGTGGTGAGGGGAGGCTGTGTGTGCAGCAACAGCAGCGGCAGCGGGAGGGGAGGGGAGGTGGTGTGTGTTTTGAGTCGACTCGAAACACAATAGTGTGTGCAGCAGCAGCAGAAGCAGCTGGATGCAACTCTCATCCCAATGCAAGCCATACAGCCTTGGATGCAACTGTGCACCACTTTTGAGATGTCTCAAGAGTGCAACTGTGTACCTTAAGCCCCACTCTTTCCCGGCCTCACCAGATCAAGAGCTTCTCACCTCTGGAGGATCTGGGAACATGCCGTCGTCTGCAAACTGAGAAAAGGTGGGGAAGGGAGAAGGCCGATGGAGGGGATGGGAAGCGGAGAAGGTGGATGAGGATCGGGGGAGGGAGAAGGGGAAAGGAGGGAGGCTTGAGAAGGAAAGGGGAGGGGGAAGGTGGAAGGGTGGCAGGGTTAAGAGGGAAAGTGGAAAGGTGGAGGGGATACAATAACCTTTCACCCTGTTCGCTTTCCCACTTCCCCATTTCCCCATTTCCCCCTTGCCTCCTTTCCCCCTTTCCCACCCCCCTCAACTGATGAAGGTCTGGCAGGAAATCAAACGGATCCTCCTCCTCTGCTGCTCCTTCCACCCCCCCCCCTCCCCAACCTTTGTTCGAGCCAATCTGAAGCCACTTTGTTTGTTTGAGCCTACCATGTCCCACTTCCCCTTTCCCCTTCCCCCCCTCACCTCATGAGGGTCTGGGAAGGAATCAAACGGGTCTTCCTCTTCTGCTCCTCCCCCACCTCCTGCTGCCCCTGCGCCATCCACTGCCGCAATCTGGGTGCATTGGATTTGAGGTGGTTGGGGTGGGGAGGAGAGGGGAGAGGAGAAAAAGGAGAGGGTGAAAAAGGAGAGGGGGAAAAAGGAGAGGGGGAAAAAGGGGGGGAAAAGTGAAAAAGGAAGGAAACAGCACTCTGAACCACGTCGTTGTCTGGCGGCTCTCCGCGCTCACATAAGAGTCTTATGATAAGGCCCATGACAGTGTTGATTCGCAATGGGCCCCAGCATAACAGAACAACCCATGCGTATGCTGCGTTGCGCACATACCATACTCCCACCCCACCTGCGCTTGTCTGGCGGCTCTCCTTGCACGCATCAATCCCATGAAGTATTGATCCACACTGGACGCCAGCAGTCGGTCAAGCTGCTTCTTGTTGAAGAAATAAGGGCGGTACCTGTGGGTGGGGTGGGGAGGAAAGATGTGTGAATCAACAGGAGTCAACGCTGGTCAACCCTGGTCAATGGTGGTCCACACTGGACGCCAGCAGTCGTTCCAGCTGCTTCTTGTTGGAAAAGTAAGGGTGGTACCTGTTGGTGGGGGGAAAGGATGGCAGGGAGAGGGGGGGAAAGAGGGCAAGCTATGAGTCAACAGGGTCAACGCTGGTCAGTTTTGTTCCGCACTGGATGGCAGCAGTCGGTCCACCTGCTTCTTGTTGTAAAAGTAGGGGCGGTACCTGTGGGGAGGAGGAGAAGATATGAATCCACAACGGTCAACACTGGTCAACGCCAGTCAACGCCAGTCAACGCCGGTCAACGCTGGTCAACAACGCTGGTCAACGCTGGTCAACGCTGGACGCGAGTAGTCGGTCCAACTGCTTCTTGTTGAAAAATTAGTGGCGTTATCTGTGGGTCACAGAGGAAACTATGAGTCAACAGAAGTCAAAGCTGGTGGTCAACGCTAGTCAATGGTGTACCAAAGGAAGGACATGGGCCAACTCACTATGCCGTCACCAGCACTCACCAACTCAGTTAGCCGCCCTTGGACGGCACAAGGAGACTTTTGAGTCGACTCACAAGTCACCTCGCCCTTGGACGGCACAGCAATGGTGAGATTCGCCGCACTGAACACCAGCACTCCCTTAAATGATGGCCCCACCACTCACCACCTAAGCTGCCCGCCCTTGGACGGCACAGCGATGGTCAGGTTGGCAGCACTGAACACCGGCACTCCCTGGAATCGCTCCGCCGCTTGCCGCCCCTCCAGCTCGCGCAGTAACTTCCGCGCCGCCCGCACCTGACTCTCGTCCGGCACAAAGGCGAAAAGCGGGCGGCGGAACTGGGCGGGAATGGTGGGGTGGGGTGGCAAAGGGGGACGGGCGGCAAGGGACAGGCATAAGCTGTCGAAAGCGAAAATCGGTTGGTGGAACAGGGCAGGAAAGCGAGACGGGCGGCAAGGGGAGCGGGGGGAGGTAGTTGGGAGGGGGAGGTATAAAGAAGGGGTTAGCAAGGGGGGAGAGGCGAATGAAGGGTTTATGTGTGTATAGGCTGTTGAGATTACAGGCACGACGATGGACAATGGGGAGGTCAAAGGGGAGGGAAGGCAGGCCATGGGGCGTGAAAGTAGCGGGTAATAGACCTGGGAACATATTCAGATCACTTCTGGGATGAATTTTGACACAACTCAGAAAGCACCTAGGAGTTGTAGGACAGTGACTCTCGAGAGAGAGAGAGTCACCACCAAACTGCGTTTTAATGTAAACTCAAGCACCACACCACTGGCACACAAGCACGACACCAGCAGCAGTTGACGCCTCCCCCACACCAACCTTGAAAAATCAATATGCGACTTCTAGATAGCAGAATTCGATCGTGCTGGCTCAGGAGAATAAACCTTTCCTGCACTGCCATTGGTTAACACCTTCCTGAAGTTATTCAGTTGAAGCCTCCCCCACACGAACCTTGAAGAATCGGTACGCGACACAGGACGCGTGACGCTGCTTCCAGACGCAGGACGCATGACGCGCCTTGCGTCTTTCACAACTAAGCACGAACCTTGAAGAATCGGTACGCGACTTCAAGCGGGCAGAATCCGATCGTGCTGGCCTTGACCTCGTCTGGTGCGAACGGGTACAGCTGCAGGCGACGCAGGTAGCGCGCTGGTGAGAGGAAGGTGGGAGGGAGGGGGGTAGGGGGGGAAACGAGATGGGGCATTTTGGAAAGCCTAGAGCAAGAAGAAGAGGGGTACGATCCGATCGTGGCGGCTTCCACTTCCTCTGGACCAAACGGGTACAGAGGGTTGAAGTAGGAGGGGTAGCAGGCTGGGGGTGCAGGTAGCAGGCTGGGGGTGGGTTGAAGTAGGAGGGGATGGAAGATATTATTTATACCAGGCAAGCTAGGGCAAGTGGGGGCAGCTGCAGGTGCCTCGGATTTAGCGGCTGCTTGGAGGCGTGGGGGACAGGTGGGAACAAAGTGGGGAACAGACGGATTTCTTTGGGAAAACCAATTTGATTTCAGGCGTCTGGTGCTGCAAAGATGAACTTTTTCCAGACGCTCTCTCCTGCTCACCTGCACCGACTCGGCTAGGGAAGAAGCAAAAGACAGCCTCACTGTCGCTGCTCTGCCCATCTTCCGCCCCTCCTCTCCTCTTCTGCTTCACACAACAGCAGCGAGCGTGGCACCACCAGTTTCACCCCAGACACTCTCTGCTGCTCACCTGCAGTGCCTCGGCTCAGGAAGAATCGAAAAACACACTCGCCCTCGCTGTCGCGCCTCTTCTGCCCCTCCTCCAGTGCCTCGCGCTCACCCCCTCCCCTCTCCTTCTCCTCAGCCCTTCTCTCCTTCCACTCCACTCCCCTTGCCTTCTCTCCCCCGTTTTTCCCCATCTCTCCCCCACTCTTCCCCATCTCTCCCCCGTTTTTTTCAGCTTCGCCCCCACCGGCCTTCCCCTCTTCTCCTTCCCCCCTGCCCACAATGCCTGGGAGGGAGCGCTTCAATAGCCTGGATGAGGGGTGGGATTGGGTGGGAGGGACGGAGGGGGTGCGGAAGGGGGAGGTAGTTTTTGACTGGACTGGAATTCGTCCCCCCTTCTCCTTCCCCCTGGCTCACAATGCCCGGGAGGGAGAGAGCGCTTCAGTAGCCTGGATGAGCGGGATCAGATGGAAGCGATGGAGGGGGGTGGGGAAACGGGGGAGGCGGAAGAATGGTGGAGGGCGCGCCCTTCAATCCCAGCATGCCCCTTTTAGAGGGATCCGCCACGAGAAACACATTGCCCATCAACGCCGGTCCCCCCATCCCCTGCTGCTGCTGCTGCTGCTGCTAGGGCTGCTGGTGCTGATGCTGTAAGCCCCCACCCAGCCCAACCACACCCCAGCCATCCCAACCACTCACCCAGTCAGTTGCTGTCACCGCTTCCCCACCCACTCCCCCATCCCCTGTGAAGGGAGAGGGCTCGACCTTCACTCCCAGCATGCCCCTCTTAGAGGGATCCGCTTCCACCCAGAGCAAGCACACGAACCACACCCCACCCATCCCCACCACTCACCCTGACAGCTTCTGCCGCTGCTGCCCCAGCCACTCCCCCATCCCTGTGAACGGGGAGGGTTCGACCTTCACGCCCAGCATGCCTCTCTTGGAGGGATCCGCCACGAGAAACACATTGCCCATGAACGCTGGCCCACTGCCCACCCGCTGCTGCTGCTGGTCGGTGGGGAGGAGCGATGGCAGGGGTGGGATGGGCATGGGGGAGGGGCGAGCGCGGGGTGGAGAGGAGGAGGGTGGTGGGGAAGAGGAGGAGGAGGAGGAGGAGGAAGAGGAGGAGGAGGAGGAGGAGGAGGAGGAGGAGGAGGAGGAGGAGGAGGAGGAGGAGGAGGAGGAGGAGGAGGAGGAGGAGGAGGAGGAGGAGGACGACGACGACGACGACGACGGCGACGACGAGGAGGAGGAGGAAAGAGAGGAAGAGGAGGAAGAAAGGGAGGAGGAGGAGAGTGGGGCGGACAGCCGCAGTGTAAATCCCTCTTGAATCTCCTGAATGTGCCAACTGGCACCTGAATCTCCTCCCACTCCCACTCCCATGCCTTGCAGCATGACACTAGCAGCACTACCATACCCGTGTGCTGCTGCGGGCAGCTTTTCGGGCACCTCAAAACTTTCAACGCGCCTTAGGATTCCTCGCTGCACGACCGGTGCAGCACTACCGCCGCCAGCAGCCGCTGCCGCTGCGGGCAGCCGGGCGGAGGACCAGAGCAGGCAAGCAGGCTCGGAAGGCCGGATCAGGTTCGGTGAATGTGTGTGGATCAGGGAAGTGCACGGTTGGGGTTTCACATCGCCGAGCCATTTCGCCGCATTCGCCACTGGACTTCGCAAGGCCAGAGCGATCCCGCCCACAAGTCCTGGAAACCCAAGCATTCCTAAACGAGCTAACGGTCCTGCTTGTAACGCGTCTGGTTGTCCCAGCGGCCGTTGCCATCCCCATGCTAGGTGATGCGGTCGAGCAAAAACGCGTTGTGAGCCGACGGATTGAGATACCACAGTGAGATGCCGATCCGCTGATGCCGTCCGTTGGATCGTCGTATCCTGAGACCCCCTAGCACCGTTCTTATTCTGCTTTAGGTAAGTCCTGTATGGCAAACGCTTCACTATCACGCGGTATTGCTGCTGCGACGGGCTGCTAAGATTTAATCTCCCTGAGGAATCGCGAGGCCCGGTGGCGAGGAGGTAGATGTGGAGGCTGTCGTGCGTGTCGCTGGCAACCACTTCCGCGCACTCGTCGTGTTCGTTAGCATCGCAGATTTCGCCATCGCCACCTGGTACGTGGATATCTTGCATCGTCGCGATTTGATTTCTGAATTCTAGCGGCTGCTCCTCACACCTCTCCGCCATCGCTTGGGCAACTAGTTTGCGCAAAAAGCGAACAGCCAAAGTGGAATCTCTAGTAAACAAGAGCATGAAATCCATTCACAGCAGAGTCTTAGGGCGTGTTCGCAGTGGCAGTAATTACTCTAATGAACAGCTGGTAACAGCTGGTAACAGAGCTACAAGTTAATCAAAACACTAAAACATGCTTTGATTTACAAAAGGCCTTCAATGAAAACATGTGTAAGTGCCAGTGGTCTAGTGGTAGAATAGCACCCTGCCATTGGTCCGGTGCAGACCCGGGTTCGATTCCCGGCTGGCACACGTTTCTTTTGATCCCTTCGCCTCTTTTCGCGCATGTTTTTCGTCGTGTTTCGTTAAAGCAATACAACTTCGTCGACGCAGTCAGGATTTCGCCATTCGACACCTTCGCTGACATGAATGTTGATTCGCTCTACTTCGTCAGCGCTCACCCACCTCTACTTGCACTTTCACCAAACAACCCCTACCCAACCGTCCAGTGTCCAGCCAACCGTTCTGCACCAGAAAGCACCTACCGAAACGCAATGAAACGAAATTTTTTATAACATCCTCACCTCACTCGGTTATTATTGTTCGTAGTTTTGACACCAACTGCTTATGCGTGTCAACCCAAGTCGGCCCACTTCTTGGTGTCAATCTCTGTAGCAGCCGGGTCAACTCGAGTCGCGCCGACGGAAATGTGCGACGAAGCCTCATTGGTGGGACACGAAATATCTGTTATTGTGCGTTTATACGATCGTGCCAAACTGTCAGTGCAGCCCCACAGTGCAACCCAACACCAACGTGTTGGGCGGGGATTTGTGGACCATCGCAGAGGCAGGTTTTGCAGATTTTTGATTAAGAGCAAATCGTGAGAGGTATCAATGCGATGGTTTTGGTTGGATGGTGTGCGTTGCGACTCTAGGCGAGCGGGCTATCCGATTAATTTGGCAGGCTGACATTGAGCGCTTTTTTGACACCAACCAACAATGTATGCTCGTGTCAAAATTCCAAAATGATACACGTGTCAAAACTACGAACAAGCCCTCATACTATTTTTCACGCACGACCCTGTGCGGTCGCAGTCGCAGATCGCCCGTATTCCTCCCAGACTTTTGTTAGGGGAGAGCGCGAATCTGCATGCTAGTTTGCACCATAGTTGCCTCACAATACGGCATGCCCTCCTTAGCACCGCACGTCTTTAAAGCCAGGATCTCAAGTAAAAGAATTGCGCATCAACTGCAAAACAGTTTAGCTTTTCTGATGCCGCAATTTCTTCGACCGCACAAGAAATTACGTTTGCACCATAGTTGCCTCACAACGGCATGCCCTCCTTATTACCGCACGTCTTTAACAATGTAGTTTAGCATTTCTGATGCCGCAATTTCTTCGACCGCACAACAAATTACGTTCTCAGGCGATTGAACACAGTGGGATTTAAATCAGCAAATTGTCCTTCCTGTGCGGAATTCGTGCGACCGCGGGTCGACACGGCCCGACCGAACACCTCAACGATTTGTCGCGGGCGAGGTAGTGTGGGCGGGGGTCAGTGGGCGGAGAGGGGTAGCCGACAGCAGCAGGCGATGACGTGAGTTTTGAGGCGTGTCGAAATATTAAATCGTTGAGACGTCTCGAAGCATAAATTCGTTGAAACGACTCTGCGAACTGGCTTTTGCTATAAGCAATGGCGCGGCGCTGCGCCGAAGCAGCAATGGAATCAATTTTCGAGAGAGGAGAGGTTGGAGAGGAGAGGAGAGGGCGGAGCGGAGAGGAGAGGGCGGAGCGGAGAGGAGAGGGCGGAGCGGATTGGAGAGGGCGGAGAGGAGAGAGCGGAGCGGAGAGGAGAGGGCGGAACAGAGAGGAGAGAGGGGAGCGGAGAGGAGAGGGCGGAGCGGAGAGGAGAGAGCGGAGCGGAGAGGAGAGGGCGGAGCGGAGAGGAGAGGGCGGAGCGGAGAGGAGAGGGCGGAGCGGAGAGGAGAGAGCGGAGCGGAGAGGAGAGAGCGGAGCGGAGAGGAGAGGGCGGAGCGGAGAGGAGAGGGCGAATTGGAGCGGAGAGGAGAGGGCGGATTGGAGCGGAGAGGAGAGGGCGGCGCGGAGAGGAGAGGGCGGAGCGGAGAGGAGAGGGCGGAGCGGAGCGGAGAGGAGAGGACGGAGCGGAGAGGAGAGGGTGGAGCGGAGAGGAGAGGGCGGAGCGGAGAGGAGAGGGTGGAGCGGAGAGGAGAGGGCGGATTGCAGCGGAGAGGAGAGGGTGGAGCGGAGAGGAGAGGGCGGCGCGGAGAGGAGAGGGCGGAGCGGAGAGCAGAGGGCGGAGCGGAGAGGAGAGGGTGGAGCGGAGAGGAGAGGGCGGATTGCAGCGGAGAGGAGAGGGTGGAGCGGAGAGGGAAAGGGGGCTGAACAACAAGCGAGGACAGGTACGACGGTGATAGGGTGGTGTGAAGGGGGGGGGGGGAAGAGGGGGGGAATGGGGCGGGATGCTGTCGATGCTTCTCGATGTCACTAACCCTTCGGCCCTTCAGGGGGATTCTGCAGGGAAAGGAAAGTTCACACGAGACTAGCGAATCCGATGAGGGAGCAATTGGTGCTGAGCACGGGGCCAGTGGGTAGTGGTGAGAGCAGGGGGGTGGCGATGGGAGGATGCTGCCCATGCGCCTCTTGACCCGTCACTGACCCTTCGCCCCTTTTTTTATGCGCCTCAAAAATTGCCTCAAAAATATTTTGAAAATTTTGAGGGGATGCTGACCCTTCGCCCCTTCAGTGGATGCAGCAAAAAGGGGGAAGGGGGAAGACGAAAGGGGAAGGGGGGAGACGAAAGGGGAAGGGGGGAGACGAAAGGGGGCGGTGAGGGAGGAATTGCAGCTAAGCACTGGGTCATTGGGTAGTGGTGAGAGCAGGGGGGGAAGAGGGGGAGGGAAGGGAGGGTGAGGGGGAATTACAGCTAGAAACTGGGCCATTGAGTAGTGGTGAGAGCAGAGGGAAATGGGAGGGGGTGGGGAGAAACGGATGGGAGATGGAGGAAAGGGGAATGAGGGATGGAGTAAACGGGGACTGGGATGGGGAATGGGGAATGGAGATGGCGGATGGGGGATGGGGACTTAGGATGGTGGATGGGGACTTAGGATGGTGGATGGGGACTTAGGATGGTGGATGGGGACTTAGGATGGTGGATGGGGACTTAGGATGGTGGATGGGGACTTAGGATGGTGGATGGGGACTTAGGATGGTGATGGGGACTTAGGATGGTGGATGGGGACTTAGGATGGTGGATGGGGACTTAGGATGGTGGATGGGGACTTAGGATGGTGGATGGGGACTTAGGATGGTGGATGGGGACTTAGGATGGTGGATGGGGACTTAGGATGGTGGATGGGGACTTAGGATGGTGGATGGGGACTTAGGATGGTGGATGGGGACTTAGGATGGTGGATGGGCAACGGGAGGACAGAGGAACGTGAGATAGAGAGGTCGATAGGGGGATGGGCAATGGGGGATGGGCAATGGGGGATGGGAGGTTGGGGGATGGGAGGTGGGGGACTGGGAGATGGGTGGATAGCAGGATGAGGTGGGATACGAGGAATGGGGGCTTAGAAATGGGAGAAGCAGGGATGGTAGGACGGGGGATGGGATGGGAGGTGGGGAGTTGTGTGATGGGATGAGAGGAGGGAGTGGGGAGTGAGTGCCATAAGCTACTGCAAGAAATAAGGGGCGGGGAAGATTGCAAAGTGATGAGAAAAGGAATGCAGCAGCCTTTATTCCATCATACTACACCTCATCCTTTTTCTTCCAGCATTTCCCCCATCCATCCCCCCATCCTTCCCTTTCCCCCCCCACCCTTTCCATCTCCTCGGCCGGGATGCTAACGTTTTGGGCTCACTGTTTCTCCCTTCAGCTCAATCGTCATCGTGCAGAGTGCATGAACGTGCAGCAACATGACTTCTACCGTAATTCACTCTGCACTGCTTCCTGGTGCTTTCTTTCTCGTCCTAAGAGCACCACTTTCTCCCTCACCTTCCCCCAGCCCTTGCACATGCCTTTCCATCACCTCCCCACTGCACTGTTTGACACTGCTGCTGCTCACATTCTACATCCCTTCTTTCTTTCCCCTCCCCTCGAGTCTCCTGTTTTGATGCAGTGATTGGGGTTTGACACCACCTGTGCCCTTGAAAGCAGTAGCCTAGTTTCATAATCCACCAACTGGTAGTTCACAATTGTGCCCATATGCAATATTGCCCACATTTATACCAAATTCATAAGAGTGTCAGTTTCTCTATGTAGAATTTCTAACAATGTGATGCAAATGCAGATATCCTGAGCTGAAACTCTATTTTTCGTTTTGCATAACCGATGTGGAATCTGTATACCGAGTATTGTATACACAAAATTTTTTGCTCTTGTCGGAGGGTGCAGCGGGGAAACGTGTAGTGCTGACGGAGTCTCGATTTTGTCGCTCCCCTGCCTACTACAAAACCTCATTGCCCAACCTGCTGCCCAGGTTCGATCGCAACTTTTTCTACATGCTGAAGTACCCCGCGAATCTCTCTAGGCCTTGACATTACGTTCGATGGACCACACAGCTCTCGCTGAGGACGCGTCACCTGAAGCGGATTGGCCCAGGATTGGCCAAATCGCACCAATCTGCATTTCGAGCCCAGGCTCACACACGATCGACGCTGCATCCTGCAAAAATACAATCGTAGGACTTCACACCGAGACACAGGTTACAGGTTCGGCGATGCAGGTTCGGGGGGGGTTGTACACCCAGCCTGCGACAGATTTCGCCGGGTCGCGTGCGACATTCCCAGTGGGGTCGCACCTGGTCAACCCAATTGGGTGAGTTGGCTCCTCTGGGGCGGTGTCGCACACCCTTTTTGTGCCAGTAGGTGCAGTGACTATGCGACATGGAGTGCAGGCGCTCGATCGTGCCTGCTGACCTGACGCGGGACACCACACCGCCCCTTTCTGTTTTCACAATCGATATGGGCCCTCCCAATATCGACCTCGGGTTGCCCAGGTGACAGGATTGAAAGTACAATACACTCGCGAAGAATGGCGAAATATGGTTACTAGGCTGACTACGAAGCTACAGTGCTACACCCCATGCGACAAACCGACCCTACAGCCGATCGATCCGCTTCAGGTGACGCGTCCTGAAACTCTTGTCGGCTCCGAACCTGACCTATTTCCCGCTTTTCAAATGACTCATTCAAATCTCGCGTCGCACTCGGTGCTCCCGATTGCGTTGCGGCGGACGCTAGAGCATAACCCGGTTCCAAGCAACCCTCCTCGCTGAACATAAGATACACGTGATCCACTCTGAATTGTCGCTGTAAATATGGAATCGTGTGCGACACCCCGATACCCCCAAGGCCAGCCTACGAGAACACCATGGGTTCTGATCGTCGCGCCGCTTCGCAAGCCCATGCCACAGCAGCGACCATGTCGGCGGGTTCCCCTGCTTGCCTCGCTCCCCCTGCCACCCTCCCACCCCCCTCGTCGCATTCCCTCGCTCGCTCGCTCCCACTCGCTTCTCACCCGACGCCTATCCTAGTTGCCTCAAACCCTCGTCTTCTTACCAGCGGTGTTTTGTTCATATGTATCGTTGGTTGTTTTCTGGTTATGTCATGACGCTTCTCGTAAGCAGCAACTAACCTAACTCTTGTTTCCTCGTGCAGGCCATCCCCAAATGGATCAGGCCGTGCGAGCAAGCAGCAGTGGAGGTGCATTCGGTTCCCGCTCTTCCTGTTGTCGCTCTCCTGGAAGAAACCGCGTCAACAGATGCAGAGCTTGAAACCGTTGCCATGGCCATGACCGTGGATGCATTAACTCCGACTGCTACCATTTCAACTGTGGCTGAGGAAGCTGAGGAACCGAAGCAACCGAAGAAGAAAGCCTCTTCGTTCCTGGAGCTGCTAGCTCAAGAGGACGCTGTTCGCTCCCGTACCTCCTCAGTTGGCTCAATTGCTATGATTGATGCTTCCTCAGCTAAGGTTGCGGCCTGGTTGGGTGTGAAATCTGGATCAGAGCCCGATGGGAAGGTGGGAGCAGAGGCGAGCAGCGGGTGGTGCAGCTTGAGTCGTAGTGAGAGCAGCTGCAGCAGCCGCAGTGCGTGTCTCATCCACCTCTCCTCAGATTCCTCCTGCTCCTCCTTCTCCTCTGCTGATAGCCTCTGCAGCAGCCCCACTGGCTTGACGAAGAAAGTTGCTGGTGTGAAGAGGGGGATTGGCCGAGGCATTTCCAGCATTGGGAAGGGACACTCTCTGTCCACTGCTGATCACCTCACTTTGAAGCCCACTGACTTTACTGCGCTCATGGCAGCTGAGAAAAAATCAGTGAAGAGTGGTATTGATAAGGGCCTTTTCTGCAGTGGGAAGGATTGGAGCATGGAGGTGAAGGGGTTTGGGAAGGCGGAGCAAGGACAGACTGTCTCAAACCTTTTGTATGGGTGTAACGATGAGGAGGAAGAGGAGGATGGCAGCAGCAGAGAAAGGTCCAAAATCTCTGGGACTAGAACGATGTGCTACATGGATTAGCTGTATATGGATGAGGAAGAGGAGGAGTGGGAGGCACTGGCAGCATCATGCTTCTCTGTGGGCATTGGCAGGTTTGGAGCCAGACCGAGAATCACTGGCTCTAGCAGCTGGGTTACTCTCTGAAGAATAAGTGGTGCGCTGAGACAGTTCTAGGTGGCTTTTCACTAGAGATTTTTTTACTAGGTGTAGCAGATGTGGCTTGAACCAGAGAAACTGGACTGCCACAAACAGTACCATGCGTCTAGAATGTCCTATTTATTGTACAATATATTCAATGAATATCTTCAACAAACTGACTGCCACGTTGTCACTAGATGGTGCATTACATAAACATTTGAAAGGGGTAACATCGTCACATCATGCCTTGGTGGACTCAATTCCTCTGTATCCTTTAATCCAATTCATTTCTCTGCCACACTAGACATGAGGAGCCTTTCTCGAGCAACCTAGTCTTTCAGGTCCCACTGTGCGATGTCCATCTAGGCAAGCACAGGTTGATCGCCGTAGTCGATTCCGGTGCTTCCCAGACTGCCCTATCACATGTCATCGCCAGGAAGTTGGGGTTGCTTCCATACCTCCAGGATACCGCATTCGAGTATACCACCTCTAGTGGCGAGACGTCGAAGCCATCGAGAATTCTGCCTGGCATACCAGTACGAGTGGGGAAGCTGACCCTACCAATCGACATAGCGGTGACCGGGGCAAATACCTATGATCTGCTGCTAGGATAGGACTGGATTTACTCGGCTAATGCGGATATCCTAACCAGCAAAGGACAGATCGTGTACCGGGTCAATACCAATGAAAAGACTCGGTCCCTATCACCACCGGACCCGTGGGCACGGGTAGCCGCCCCTCCTATGTGTCCTTCCCGCCCCACACACCCCGCAGGAATGATCATAAGCCTTCTCAACACTGGTCCGGAATGGCTGAGGAGGAATTCCAGCGGTGGTTGGAGGAGAAGCAGCTCCTCCTGGCTGAGGAACAGGGGTGTATCCGACTGACGGAGGAGGAGGAGGCGGACTATTGGGCGTGGGTGCAAGAGGAAGAAGAGTTGGACCGATTGGAGCTGGAGGCATTGGAACTCATGGAGAGTGAGGGGCTCGAGGAAGGCGAGCTCTAGGCGGAACCAGAACCCGGAGAATATTATGAGGAGCTCGAGGCAGACGAGCTCGATGGCATACCTGTGGGAGGAGAGCCAGAAGGGGAAGTTGAGACGGATGATGACATGCCCAGTCTCAATAGGTCAGACGGGAAATGCTATTAAGACTTTGGGGTGAAAAATATGGATGAGCCGGCTGAGGATTGGCAATGGACCATCGGGTATGAGGAGGCCAGGAAAGCTGTGGAAATGAAAGGGGAAATTGTGGACCAATGGGGAGAGGACTCAATGACGGATGGGGAGGAGTACCTGGTGGAGGTCAACGAGGATGAGGAGGTGGCATATGAGAGAAAGGGGCACCGAATTAGTCCGGATTACCTTTTTTAGATATTCAACTACCATACAGCTGAACGTTGGCAATATATCGCTGCTAAAGAAGGGGACGAGGGCAGGATTGTCCTCGGGAGTTATTACAACCTAAAAAAGGAAGCACCCAGGGTCGCATGCCCCGCCTTTGAGGACCTACCCATATCACTCAACCATGAACTGGGGACAGACCAGCAGACGGACCTGAGGCAGCAGCTGGTAGAGTATTGGGAGATCTTTGCCATGGAAGCAGAACCGTTAGGGACCCACCCCACAATCCTCCACCACATAGCCACTGGGTCTGCCAAACCCATTTCCCACAAACCGTACCGTGTGTCCTCCTCAGAACGAGCTCGGATAGAAGAGGAGGTAGCGGCTCTCTTAGAGCAAGGAGTGATCCAACCCTCCAACAGCCTTTGGGCCTCCCCCTGTATTGTCATCCCCAAAAAGGACTTCGGTGATCGAGTGGTGATATATTACCGGCCCCTGAACACAGTGACGGAAGCAGCGGACCAGTTCCCCATGCCAAGGATCGACGACATCCTCGACCGAATGACGGGGTCGCTGTACTTCTCCATCCTTGACGTCAAATCGGCTTACCACACCATCCGGGTGGCTGAGAAGGACATCCCCAAAACGTCATTTGTCACGTGCTCCGACCAGTACGAGTATGTAAGAATGCCATTCAGACTGAAAAACGCCCTTGCTACCTTCCAACGCCTCATGACCACTCTCTTCCACACCCACCTTAACACCTTTCCCTACCTCGATGATTTCATATTATTTTCCAACAGTTGGGGTGAGCACCTGGAGCATCTGCGAGATGCTTTCAAACGGTTGAAGGCCAATGACCTGCTCCTCAAGCCCAACAAATGCGAGCTGGGGTTCTACTCTACGATTTACCTGGGGCATATCGTGACTCGAGACGGGGTGAAGCCGAATGCGGGAAAGGTGGAGGCGATCAGTAACATGGCGGCGCCAGCAATGTGAAGGGGGTCCAAGAGTTCCTGGGATGCACCAGTTACTACCGGCAGTTCATCAAGGGGTATGCGAAGGTGGAGCATCCCCTCACACAGCTGCTGCACAAGGACCACCCGTTTGAGTGGACGGACGAATGTGAGAGGGCATTCAATGCCCTTGAATTGACTATAATCTCCCCACCCATCCTCACATTCCCAGATTTTTCAGAGCCCTTTATCCTCCAGACGAACTTCTCTGCTACGGCCTTGGGGGCCATTCTAGCTCAAAAGGATAGAAAGGGAGCGGAACGAGTGGTGGCGTACGCTAGTCGTACAACGAGGGTAGCAGAAAAGAACATGTCATCCACCTATGGGGAGTGCTTGGCGGTGGTGTGGGCCATGAAACATTTTCGCCCTTACTTCTATGGGAGCCGATTTCTACTGCAGACCGACCACCAAGCCCTCCAGTGGCTAATGACGGCAAAGGATTTAACGGGGAAGTTGGTCAGGTGGAGTCTACTCCTTCAGGACTACGACTTTACCATTTTCTACCGGCCTGGGGAAACACACCGGAATGTGGATGCACTTAGCTGCATGCACCAGGGGTTGCATCAACAGACCGGGGGGGAGGCACTCTCACATGCACACTCACCTCCCATGTCCCCCACCACAAAACCCATCCCCATGTTTACAATTTTGTTAACACGGTCACCCCCACCGCCACCACCACCTCCACGGGCTGGGGCACCTCGGGGTCCCGCGAACTACCGACCTGGTACGGAAGCAGTACTATTGGTATGGCCTGGGGAGTGATGTAGCGGCCTTCGTGCGTGGATGTCCCACCTGCACGTTCCAAAAGGGTTTTAGGAGTGCAAAAGGGGAACTGCGGCCGGTCCCAGTAACAAAGCCATGGGACCAAGTAGTAATCGCCTTTGTCAGCCCGCTACTAGTAATGACGAAAGAGGGAAACCGGTACATCATCTCGGCCATGGATCAGTTCACCAAATGGCCCGAGTGCAAGGCGGTGAAGCGGGCAGATTCCGAGATGGCAGCTGCTTTTGTAGCGGAGAAAATCATCTATGCATACGGCTGCCCGCTGGTTACCCATGCTGACGACGGCCAGCATTTCCATGGGGAGTTCGGGGTGCTCCTGGAAAAATTCGGGATCTACCACGAGTTCTCTCGCCGAGATCATCCTCAAAGCTCGGGGTTAATCGAGAGATTCCAGCGGACGCTGAAAGGGGCATTGGTCAGGATAGGGGAGACCAACCCATTCGATTGGTCTGAGAACCATGACAAGGCACAGGAAAAACAAAAGGCCGACTTCGACCAGCGTCGGACTAGCATGAAACCGATCAAAGTGGGGGATTATCCACTACTATGTAGAAGTTGGGCAGGGCAGGTACCCGTAGCCTCCGTACGAAACGGGACCCCTTAGCTGCTTCCTCAGCTCCACCAGTCTCAGCCAGCTTTTTACTTAGCTCTTCCCTTGCATCACCAATTCCCCATCCTTACGGCTCCCGAACTGCCTGCCGCTTCCGAGCACCGACCAACATGTCCACCTTCCCATTTTCCCCATTAAGAAATTCCGTTATAGTGGGGGCTTTTCCCTCTAGGACCTGCTGTATGACATTCAGTGACGTCCGGCCTTTTTGGGTGCAGTCCCGAGCCATGTGTCCCTCCTGTCCACATTGGTAACATTCAAATCCGCCTCCTGCCGGCCTAGCGAGTAAGCCACCTCCCCTTCCCTGCTGCATCTGGGCCAACTGGATGCTCAGCTTCTCCAGCTGCTTGGTGATTTGATCCACCTCCGACTCCTTAAACCCCATGCCCTTTTCCTTAGCAGCTTCCACCATCGGCTCTATCCCAATAGGTATGGAATAGGACACAAAATACTTAGCAGCTTCCTCTATTGCCTCCAAGGAGACCGGCCTCCCTCCCATCACCTTCTCCCTTAAGCCTTTGTCCCCCAGGCCCTCAATAAAATGTCTCACCATCATAGCCGCTGGGTAGTTACGAACGTAGGCCGTGAGTTGCCTAACTTCGTCCACCAGTTCCGTCACCGTCTACCCCGGCTTCTGCCTCAGCCCCGTCAGCTGCTGCATGACATTTGCGGTCGATTCAAAAATAAAGCGCTTACGAAACGCCTTGTCAAACCCATGCACGGTCGTTAAGGCCTTGCTCTCTGCCCACACGTAGGCAGCTTCCGTTAGGTGCATGAGGAGGTAGTGTAACTGCTGCGTATGGAGGATAAGAAACACCGCAAGGCATGTGTAGCCTGACTAATCCACACCTTAGGATCCAGCGAACGCCCATCAAAGCGCGGCAGTTGCCCCATGGCGGCGGCTATACTCGTAATATCGCTTAGATAGGACGGGTTCGTTTTCTCAGCCAAAGGGAGAGAGGAACCTGTACGGGCCACCACAAAATTTGAAACTTATAAAATTTCCTGACCTTTAGATTGGATCCGCCGATTAGGTCTAGCCGTCCTATACCACTTGTATGGTACTTAAGGCGCCTGCACAACATGTCGTGGTCCTCTAAACGGAGCGTTAGCCCTACTCCTCGGGCTA